TTCTCATGATTCTGTGGGATGGCCAGGATTCTGGGCTGCCTTGACTGGGGCCACATGGTCTAGGATGTCCTCACTCAGTTATTCCCCAGGGCTGGAATCCTCTTTCCACTGGTAGAACAGAGGTGGTAGGTGAACTGTTACTCAGAAATATAGCTCTTGGGCTAATGGGATGAACCAGAATAAATCGTCCTTGATTCTGCTTTTGTTTCTCTCCCTTTTTCTATGGCCTAAACCAAGTCCTATTTTTCTCTTACCTCCTCCTTGTCTAGAGCATCTGTGACTCACTCCTCGTGGCTGCTGGTTGCTGTCCCTCCCGATATCCTCAAAGGGCAGAGGGGCTTGATTCCCAGGAGGAGGATGAAGTTGGGCGTGTGGCCTGGGGCCAGTTGCCTCCCCCACAGCCCCTTTCCTCGTCTCTAGGATGTCAGGGTTGCACGGAATGTCTCTGAGGCCTTGGTGGCCCTGCTCTGCTCGCAGGGAAGTGGTCAGGCTGGAGCATGTGGTCCAGTGCTCTGTCCCTTGGGCCTCAGGTCAGGCCTGGCTGCTTTGGGGAGAAGAATTCTCTGAGTGGGTGTAATAGATGAGTGGCAAAAGTGGCCTCAGTTTTTTACGCACACTCCCATCTATGCCCTTTGTAATGAATATTTTGCAGTTCCTTCCACCAACAAGTGGAGTCTATTCCCTGCCTCTCCCCGCCCCCCGAGTCTGCTTTGGCCAATAGAATGTGGTGGAAGCGGTGGGTTGGTTGTTCTGTGCTTGGGCATTAAGGGGCGTTGACTCATTTGCTCCTTTTCTTGGAATGCTGCTATGAGAACAAACCTAGGCTGGCCTGCTGGGGGTGAGTCAACCCAGCCGAGGCCAACCTAGACCAGCCAGTGCCTGCCGAGCCACCAGAGTGAGCGAGCCCAGCCTGGATCAGCCAAGACCCAGCCAACCTATAGATTTGTGAAAAAATGGAAATGATTGTTTTTAGCCACTCTATTGGGGGGGGGGGGGGTTGTGACACAGTTGATAGAGTGGCCACTTGAGCTACATGTGTTCTGAACACAGCATGGCATCTCTGCCTCAGGTTGGGGCCCTGGCTCCGGAGCTCACCCACTGGGTTCCAGCTCAGGTCCCACAGCTCCCTCCCCGGGGAGGCTGGGCAGGGAGGAGCCAGAGCAGGTGGCTTTGGAAAGGAGGGAGCAGGGAAGGTCCCAGGGGAGCATGTCCTTGCTGCCCAACCTGGACAGACATTGCAACACAGTGCAGCACAGAAATGCCTGTTTACAAAATTTTTAAATCAAAGTTATACCTGCACCTGAATTAATCAGATCCTTCAATATGATGCTGCTATGAAGGACAACAGGCTGTCTGCTGCCTTCTCCCCATTTCCTGCTGCCCAGACTTTCAACTTTTTCCTTTTTTAAGCAATAAATATATTTTTATCGTTCTAAATAGCATGCTGGTATTGCTACTTAAAAAAAATTTTTTTAAAGATTTTGTTTTTCCTTCTTCTCCCCAAAGACCCCCCGGTACATAATTGTATGTTTTGGTTGTGGGTTCTTCTAGTTGTGTCGTGTGGGACGCCGCCCCAGCACGGCCCCACGAGCGGTGCTAGGTCCGTGCCCAGGATCCAAACTGGCAAAACCCTGGGCCACTAAAGCAGAGCGCATAAACTTAACCACTCAGCCATGGGGCCGGCCCCTACATTAAAAAAAAATTTTTTTTTCATGACAAAGATTGGCCCTGAGCTAACACCTGTGCCAGTCTTCCTCTGTTTTATGTGGGATGCCACCACAGTGTGGCTTGACATGCAGTGCTAGGTCTGTGCCTCGGCTCCGAACTGTTGAACCCTGGGCCGCAGAAGCAGGGTGTGCAAACTTAACCACTGCACCACCGGGCCAGCCCCCTGACTACTTCTTCATTTGAGGCATTATCTGTTGACTTCTCACCGTGAAAGATTTATTCCTTGTCACCCACTTCCCTCCCCACACACCTGCCTCTCCTCAGCTCCCTGTCCTCCCAGAATCCTTACGTCCTGATTCCATTAAATTAGTATGTGCTTCTTACTTGCCACTGTGACTTTGAAAATGCTCTTCCCAATTGAAGTGTGCAGAATAATACTCCAACTTTTACTGTCTTGCACAATGTTTCTTTGCGTGAGCTTTCTAATGAAGCTCCATGCAAGCCCCAGGGGTAGCAGGGGGCTGGGGTGGGGGAGGCATTTCAAACTCTTCACCCGACCCACCCCCACCAGAGAGAGAGAGAGAGAGGGAGAGGAGAGGCCCTGGGCTCTCTGGGGATGGCCACAGCCACTCTTTTCGGGGGATTACCCTCAGGCTCATTTGTCAGGGAGGGGCCCTTGTTTCGGGGCCTCCGTGAGTGCCTGGTTTCCTGCGTGCCCCTCCCTGCTCAGGCGCTGGCTCCTGTGTCATCAGGTAACTCCCACATTGTGTCTTCCTTGCCTTTCACACACTGCCCGCCGTATCAGCGGGGCTCAAGGGGTGGGACCACAGGTGGCACCCAGGTTCAGGACTCTGTGGTGTGGCATGAAGGTGACCGTGACCCCATTTCTCACTTGCTCAGTTCCTCCATTAGGGTCTGATGGTCTGGGATGTGTGGTGGGATTCAGCACTGGGGGCCTTTCAGGGAGATTTCTGAGTGGAGAGGCTGCCAAGATAGTTTTGTGGGGCACGGATGGGTGCAGAGCCTGATTCTGGTGGGTGGGGAGGTCTGGGCTGAGGGACTCCAGCCGGTGGGATCAGGACTGGACAGGAGCTCACGGCCCGGGGCCCTGTGGGCAGCAGGCAGAGCCGACATGTTCTGAAGGGCTGTGGGGCACGACGCCTCCAGGTGACAGATAAGCCCGAGCCAGATGGAAACTTCCGTCCGCTCCAAAACCTGTACACAGAGGCTTGTCGTGGCTTTATTCATAATGATCAAAAACTGGAAAGAACCCAGATGTCCCTCCACTGGTTGATAGACAGTAATCTGTCCACACAGTGGAATACTACTCAGCAAGAAAAAGGAGCAAACCACTAACCCACGCAACAACCTGGCTGAATCCCGGCTGCAGAGTGCTAAGTGCAAGGAGCAGACACAAAAGGCTGCATGCTGTGGACGTGTTTCCACGGCATTCGGGAAAAGACAAACCTCTGGACAGAACACGGACGAGTTGTGGCCTGGGGCTGGGGTGGGGCGGGGAGGAGGGGTTGACTAGATTAGCAGGAGGGAATTTTCTGTGAGGATGGAAGTGTTTTATATCCTGATTATTGTATTGATTATACGGCTTTATGAATTTGTCAAAACTCATAAAATCGTACACTAAAAAAGATGAATTTTATTGTATGTAATTGTACCTCAATAAACCTGAAAAAAACCAAAAGTAACAACAACAGAAAGTTTCAGTGAGGTTAGTATTCGTGGAGACACTGTGGCAGCAGGGGAACTTCAGGGTGGGAGGAGGAGGAGCTGAGAGCCAGCGGTGACCTCACACAAGGGGTCAATGGGAACATTAACCAGCCGACTCAGCCTCTTAGAGCCTCGGTGTCCTCATCTGCCAAATGGGGACAACAGTCTGTACTTTGCCGAGTCCAGTGAGGGGCAGATGAGATGACCATGTGAGAGACCCCAGCCCAGCTAATAAGGGCTTCCTAACTCTCATGTGGGCATCAGTTGGCCGCAGTGGCTACCAACAGGCCGAGTTTGAATTCCTGTTGCACTTCCTACAAGCTGTGTGACCTTGAACAAGTGTCTTAACCTTTCTGAGCTTTGATTTTCTTGTTGATAAAATGAGATTTTATGGTCCCATAATACTGTTGCAAGGATTCAATGGATATAAAGGCCTTACCCCTGGGCCTAGCACATAGTGAGCAGTGAGGAAGAGCGATTCCATTATTCTTGTAGGGTTGCCAAAATAGCAAATAAAAATGCAGGATTCCCGGTTAATTTGGAATTGCAGGTAAACAATGAGTATAATTTTCGTATAAGTGTATCCTATGCAATATTTGGGACATACTTACACTAGAAAGGTCTTCATGACATAATTAACATGTGTGGTCTATCTGAAATTCAAATTTAACTGTGTGCTCGGTAGTCACCTGGCAGCCCTGTTAAGAGGAAGGTGGAGCTGGGCTGACATGGCAATGGGACTGAGCCCACCGGTGAGTGGAGGGCTGAATGACCCACTGCTTTTTACCCCCGCAGCCGGAGTCACTCAAGCACCTCCAGTCTCTCCTTCAGGGAGCTCCCTCGGCTTAACCCACGCGGCCCATTCATTCCTTGGCCCTGCTTTTGTTCGGGCCTGTGGCTGCCAGCTGGCGTCACCATAACTCCCTCCTGGGCTAGTGCTGCCCTTTGGTTGCTCTGGAGTCATTTCTGTGTCCCCCGAGCGGCCAGCCGCCAGGGCGGGGCTGTGCGCCTGCAGCCTGTCCGGTGGTCCGGGCGGACGGTGGGTGCAGCAGGCACAGGGGCTCTCGGCGCCTGCGGCTGATGGCTGAGTGGCAGCCGGGCTCTTACATAATCGGTTTCTCTCCTCCTTTCTCTTTCCAGAGCCGGATTTCACACTGAGCAGCTGCAGACGGGGAAATCAGAGACAGCGCAACCCAGCCCCAGATTCCGAGGGGCCTGCTGGGGACTCTCTCCTCCCGCTCGGAGGGAAGACCCCGAGACCGCTGTCTCAGGCCAGGTCCTGGCTGCCATGGGACTCACCGCCTCTGCCCCCCGGCTGCCCTCCGCACTGCCAGGCAGATAAGGGCGGGGGCTGTCCCGGGAGCACCTGCCACCCCCTGCCAGGCCCCTCCGTGGCCAGCCCTCCCTGACTTTGGGCCACCTTTGCTGACCCGAGGCCATGTAGGCCCCACTCGGGCCTCTGTGGATAGACACACCGCCGGGGACACCACCTCTGCTCTCGGGGGGACCCAGCGCACCACCATGCCCCGGGGACTCGCCTGGCTGCGCTGTGAGTACTGGGGGGTCCGTGTGGACCGCCTTGAGGAGGCCTTGGGCCAGAGCCAGGCTCTGCTGTAACCATGGCAACCGGGGCATTCTTGCTGGTGTGAAGTTAAGATGCTTCCCAGTTAACCACAGGTGCCCTCGGGGACCCCCACGGCCACCCCTGCCCTGTGTCCAGCTGACCCCAGCCCAGACGGGCATGGTGGGTGCGAGTCTTAGGCTGGGTGGGCACAGTCAGTGGGTGGTCCCAGGGACAGGGCAGGCACTGGTGGTAGGTGGCAGCATCTCATCTTCCCAGACTCATTGGCGCTGGGGCGTACAGGGATTTCTGGCCTCTCTGGGTGTGGCCAGCTGGGGGTGGGGGCTTGGAGAAGTCTGGGCCTCCAAGACCCATGGGAGAAGTGCACCCGGATGCCTGGGAAGGCATCCTGTTCCTGCTGACCCTCCCTCGGTAAAGAACAAAATTAAAAGGCAGGCAGAGAACAGTGTTGTTGATAAAAAGAAAATAAGCTGAAATGAGGATAGAAAAACAAGAGTCTAGAAGTCCCTCAAGCCTGCTGGTAGGAGGCCAGACCAAGATCCCTTCAGACTCCAAGATTTGACTTAACCGACTCAAGTTCCACCTATTTTTCTGGTGCCTCCCATGTGCCTGCTGGAGAGTCACTCCCATGGTGACAAGGACCTGGGCTGTCTTGTGCCTTTCTCCCAATGCCTGGCACGGAGCTAGGAGGCGGTCCCGGGCTTGACCCTGCGAGGGATTCGCAGAGGAGTTGAGCCCCCCCGGCCCTTGTGCAGGGATACTGCAAAGGGTCAGAACATTCAGACCAGGGGAAGGACCCAGACCCGGTGTTCTAGAAGCAGCATGGGTGAGGTGCCACTCAAAATGGTCTCGAAGGTGGGCAATGTCCACACAGGTAGACGTGGGGAGGTGAGGACTGTGTCCCAGGTAGAGGGAACAGCACGAACAAGGGCTCAGTGGTGGGACAGTGAGACGCCAGGGTGGAAGGCTGGCCTGGGCTCCAGTGGCTCAGGCCTTGGAAGCCGGGGTGAAGAGTTCCTAATTCATGAGAGGATGTGGAGCCCTGGAAGGTTCGTGACCTGGGGTGGGGTTGGGAGTTACTCTGCATTCGGAAGATCAGTCTGGTGGTACTTGTAAGAGTTGCTGTTGTACCTTCTGGGCAGGAAGTAATGAGGGCCAGGTCCAGAGCTGGAAGCGAGAAGAGAAAGGCATGGTGGAGGGGAGAAGACTCGTGAAGGTAGATCGCGGAACCTGGCAAGGATTGGCCGGGGTATGAGGGAGAGGGTGGGGATAGAGATCAGGGGCTTGTGAGGGCCTCGGTGCTGGGGAAGTTGGCCGCCTAACACATTGCCACAAACTTGCCTTAAAATAGCAGAAATTTATTCTGTCACAGTTCTGGAGGCCAGAAGTTTGAAACCAAGTCAGCCGGGCCACACTTCCCCTGAAGGCTCTAGGGGAGGGTCCTTCCTGCCTTCTCCAGCTTCTGGTAGCTCCCAGGGCTCTTTGGCTTGTGGCCGCGTCACTCTGGTCTGCCTTTGTCTTCACGTGGCCTCTCCCTCTGTGCGTCTCTGTGTCTTCTCTTCCTATAAGGACACCGGTCATTGGATGTAGGGCCTACCCTAAATCCAGGATGATTTCATGTGGAGAGCCTTAACTTAATTACATTTGCAAAGACCCTGGCTCCAAATAAGATCGCCTCTGAGGTCAAAGGTGAATGTGAACTGGGAGGATGCTATTCAGCTCCCTACACAGGTTCAGATTTGGTCGCTGGAGGTAGGCTGGTGGACAACCCCATTTGTCACTGCACAAAGGGCAGTTGCTCTTTCTTCAGTCTCCTCTTCTGTCTTGTGGGCCTCTTACCTCTGGAGGTGGCGGGGGCGGGGCGGGGGGGGGGCAAGATGGGCCTCCTGGCCAGGGCCAGGATTACACTGGCTGTGGGGCTCCTGGGGTGCTGAGTGGCCATGAGGCCACAGCCGTACTGTCCCTGCCTAGCCACCGGTTTGCTGGCCTGTTTCGTGGGGTGGAGGCAGCAGGAAAGAAGCTTAAAATTGGAAATGGTAGTCGGGCTGCAGACTTGGAGGAAGTGTAAGTTTCGGGAAGGCAGACCATCTATGGACAGAGTTTCCAGGGCAGCCTGCGTGTGCCAGGCCGGGAGGCGCGGAGGCTCTATAAGTTCCTGCTGTGAGCCCACAGTTGCCAGGCCCCGAAGGCCCTGGAGCAGGACTCAGATGAGGGCACCTGGCATAGGTTATGGAGGGTGGAGTGGGCAACCAGTGGGTGACTGCCACACGGGAAAGAAGATTCAGTGTAGGCAGAGATACGGACTTTTACAGAAAAGATGGAAATTCGGATTTTTATGTGACATCTCTGTGAACCAGACGTGGCCCTTGGGACACGAGTTTGCAACTGTCACTCTGGGTCAATGTTCTCAAAGTACAGTCCCCAGACCAACAGCATCAGCTTCACTTGGGAAATTGTTAGAAATGCGTGGTGTTGTGGTTAGGTTCAACATGCTCTGCTTTGGTGGCCTAGGTTCACAGATTGGGGTCCCGGGCATGGACCTACACCACTCGTCAGCCATGCTGTGGTGGCGACCCATGTACAAAATAGAGGAAGATTGGCACAGATGTTAGTTCAAGGTGAATCTTCCTCAATCCCAACAACAACAACAAAAAGAAATGCCGATTCTCTGGCCCCTCTCCAGACCTGCTGAATCAGACACTGTGGGGTGGGGCCTGGCTCTCTGGGCCTTCACCAGCTCTCCAGGAGATTCGGATGCATGCTCCCATTTCACTGCTCAAGGTGAACCCCCAAAGTGCTCAGTAAACGAAACAGTGCTGTGGTTAACAGCATCACGTATTCACACACTAAGGGCTAAGTTTTCTGGTCAAGATAGTGAGTGAATTGGACAGATGGTGCTAGAGACGGGGATTGGTGGGGGCTAGGGAGAGTCTGGGGAGGGAAGGAGTGTTGGTGAGACCTTGAAAGAGGTCTGCAGTGTGAGAGGATGCCCAGGGCAGGGACAAAGGGGGAGCAAAAACCCAGATGCAAGGATGGTCTTGACCTGCAGGGGTGCCAAGCTGAGAGGGTTAAAGATTAGGGACAAGACAGAAAGCAAGCAGAAATGCTGGTTCCATCTGTGTTTATCAGGCCCTGTGTCCAAATCCTGGGTGACCACATGAAAACAGAGAGAGAGGAGGTGCCAGATGGGTTGCAGACTTGCAACCTTGCAAAAAATGTGGTTGTCAGACTTCTGCGAGAGGAAGGGCTGGTGGGCTGCAGCCCGTAGGGGGCACAGTGCTTGAGTAGACCAGAGGGCGCTCCTGGTGAGGGGCCCAGCAGGATCAAAGGCCTGGGGGCAGGCCTGAGTAGGAGGTGGGGAAGCGATGGAGAGCAGGCCCACGGCAGCAAGCGTTTCAGAACAAAAGTCTTCCTCAGTGCCAGGGAGGTGAGTGGGGAAAGTCCAATCAGTCATCCCTGCCAGTGGTGGACCAAGGCGGTGACTCAGCCTGCCTGGTTATTTTGGGACAAAAAAAAGAGAAAAAAGAAAAAAAAATTATTATTGCTTTTGACTATAACAATAATACCTGTAGAAATTGATTATAGAATATAAAATATGTCCTACAAAAATATAAAGAACATAAAAATCTCCCATAGAGATTTGGTACATTTCTTTCCACATTTTCTATGCATACATATATGTAATGAACAAAATCCAAGACATGCTGTCTACCTAGATAAGGAGTGTTGAATCATGCTTTTTTAAACCTCGCTAAGCACATCATAAATATTTTTCTTATCACATGAGCATATCATAAGCATTTTTTGACTGTGTGATTTTTTTGAGAAAGATTAGCCCCAGCTAACATCTGCTGACAATCCTCCTCTTTTTGCTGAGGAAGATTGGCCCTGAGCTAACATCTGTGCCCATCTTCCTCCACTTTATATGCAGGATGCCGCCACAGCATGGCTTGGTGAGTGGTGTGTAGGTCTGTGCCCGGCGAACCCCAGGCCACTGACGCGAAGCATGTGAACTTAACCGCTAGCCACCAGGCTGGCCCTGGCAGTGTGATTTTTATTGGCTACTTTCATTATTATTGAACATCTAGGCCATTTATGGATTTTCACTATTATAACATAATGCAATGGAAGTCTTTGTCCACACATCTTTTGGTTTATGTCTCTTTTTGATTTTCCTTCAGGTTTATTCCTAGAAAGGAGTTTAATGGGTCAGAGGGTGTGTACATTTTTAAGTCCATTAATAACAAAAACTGCCAAGTTGCTTTCCAGAATGAGAGCACCTGCTTCACTACTTTGCCAGCACCAAGTGTTATTGAAATAAAATTAATTTTTAAAAATCCTTTTTCATTTTGATAGGTGAAACATGACATCTGATTGTTTTACTGTGAATTTCTTTATCTTTATGAGTGAGGTTGATTTTTTGGATACGTCTCTTGCCCATCTAGATGTTATTGTTTGTGCTCTGATCGACTTAACCCTTGTTCATATTTGTTGCAAACTGTCAGATATTTTTTGAAAGCCTGTTCAGTCAGGCGGAAATCACAGGCTGTTTTTGAAGTTACAGCGACCCCCAGTGGTGAAAGCTGGTAATGTTCGGAAGGCCGTAGCTGGCTTATTGGCCGGGAACAGAAACAGCCAGAGTGAGTTTCGCTTAGCATCCCAGAAGGAGCAAACGGGAAGGGCCGTCGCAAACCAGCTGGTACATCTAACTGACAGGATGCTGAGGTCAGATAGAGCAGGGAAGAAAACGGCTTTGGTCACCCAAGAGTCAGTTGTAGAGTTGGAACTAGAATCTGCATCTCCTGTATCCCCAGATAGAAAATGCAGGAACAGGCTTTGAAAACATGTCAGCCCTGGCAGAGGGCCTGAGGTTGCCCTGGAAGGAAAGTTGTCCCTGCCCCATAGGGCAGGAGTGGGGAGTAGGCTGGAGACCAAGCCCGGGTGTGGCTCCTGGGGGGCTCTCCTGGCCAGGGGTGGGGGTGGACGGGCTGGTCGGCTCCTGCTCGCCTGGAGGTGCTGTCCTGGAGCCCAGACCCCAGGGAGAGCATTCTTAGTGGTGGGAAGGCCTCCTTGGGGCTCTGCGCCCCCGCCTCCTCCCATGAATACTGGTGACTGGGAAAAGGGAGGATGGTTGTGCACAGCTTTGCACACCCGGGCACTGTTGCTCATGCGTTCTGTTGGGTGTGGTCCACAGATTTTGGGATCCTCCTTGGCATGGCCTTGGGGAACAAGGGTTTGGAGGTGTGGCCCTTGACCCAGAGTGAGGAGTGCGCGGTCACCGGCTTTCTACGGGACAAGCTGCAATACAGGAACCGCCTTCAATACATGGTAACCACGTGGGCATCTGCTGTGTCCCTCTTCCCAGGCCCCTGGGATCACTGGGCGTAGGGATCTGGACATTCAAGGTCCCTCCTTAGACCTGTGTCAGCCTAAGCCTACCATGGCCCTTCTCTCCACCACACACCCCTATGCGCCTGGGCTGCACTTACTGCCTCCCATCCTGCCATCCATCTCCGGGGACCTCCACCCCTCCTGCTTGATCTGACCTGTGATCCCACCTCCACGTGGCACTCACTCTGTGACTCAGAAATGGACTCCAGGAAGCCTTGGGGGGAACCCCAGACACTTACTGGCAGAGGAGATAAGGACGTAGAAATTAGAGTGTTTGATTCTTTTTGTAGGGTGGAGACGCCCACGTGGCACATGGCTCTGTGTGTCTTTTTTATAACAGCTTTATTGAGATGTACTCCACATACCATACCATTCACCCGTTTGAAGTGTCCAGCCCAGCGGGTTGTAGGGTACTTGCTGCAGTTCTGCAGCCGTCGCCATAATGAGTTGTAGAGTAATCTTTTAAAGTAATCCCCCCCCCCCCAAAGAATACGTTTCTATTGGGGTGGTCTGTCCCTCATACTGCTTCTTGGCCTGAAACTTCTGCCTTAACAGGAACTGCATGCTTGGTTTCAGTCTTCCCTGTGTCCGCAAGGAGAGAGAGCTCTCTTTATCCCATGGGGAGCCACGTATCTCTTCTCCATAGAGGGCCATCTCTGCCATCGAAGGGCTGGGCCTGGGTCCTCTCTTCCTACATCAAATTCGTCTGGGAGGTTGGGGGGACATGTCTGAGCCATTTCTGACTCTGACCTCATGGTTTGTTCTTGTACCTTCCCAGAAACACTACTTCCCCATCAACTACAGGGTCAGCGTGCCTTACGAGGGGGTGCTCAGGATGGCCAATGTCACCAGGCTGGTGAGAATCCCCTCCGGGGCTGGGGAGACCCCTGCCTCCTGGGACATCCCATAGGCCCAGCCTGAGAGGCATATTGGTCTTGGCAGGTCCTGTTGTCAGGGGCTTTTCCTGGTCCCTCAAGCAAGCCTGCCCTTGGCCCATGCCCAAGGTACCTGCCAGCCACAGTGGATGCCCGTGGTCGGCTCATTATGCAGGGCAAGCCCTGGGGTGGGGGTGTCAGAGTGGGGGAGGAGGGCCCAGAGGCCTGAGTCTAGGGGTTCTAACCATCTCTCCTGTCCTTGCAGCAGAGGGCTCGAGTGAGCCAGCAGGAGCTGCGGTACCTGTGGGTCTGGGTGAGTCTCAGTGCTACTGAGTGGGTGCAGGAGGTGCTGCTCGAGGACCATCCATCCTGGAAGTACCTGGAGGAGGTACATACACTGCTTCTGGACGTCCAGCAAAGCCTTAGGGTGAGCTGCTCGGAGGTGTGGGCGCGAGGGCGTGTGTGTGCGCGCGCACGCACCCGCATGGCCAAGGGCCATCGAGGGAGGACGTAAACACATGGAAAATTCCAGCATGTCCTGAAGGGTGTGGGAGAAATGGGGGAGAGGGAGAGATGGCCAGGGCTGACCGGGAGGTGGGCTAGGCCAGGGGAGCTGGGGGCGGGGACTGGAGATTCCCCTGAGAATCTGTTCCAGGCTCTGCCACTCTGGCTATGATCCTGGGCTGGTCATTGATGTGTCTGGCTTTGTTTCTGCATCTAAGATGAGGTTCCTGTGGGGGAGGGGGAGGGACAGCTAGATGGAACACGAGGGGTTTTTCCGGTGAGGAGGCTCTTCTGTGTGGTCCTGTAACAGTGGATACGTGACATCTGGCACTTGTCAAAGCCCATGGAATGTACAACACGGAGGGACTCCTAATGTAAACTATGACTTTAATAATGAGAATGAAAGAGGTCCCTGATAACTGCCTGCTCGGGGGGCTGATCTGAGGCCTCAGGGATACGTCCTCTAAATAAGCCTGAAGAGGAAGGTGACAGGATCTGTGTGTCCCCACGCAGGCCATGTGTGAACTATGGTACCCCTCCCCACACCACCATTTGCCCTGCTCCCCACCCCAGCCCTGCCTCGGGGACCCCCACCTGCTCCCCAGCTCAGCCAGAACACCCAGCACCAGCCATGAGCCTCTGAGGATAGAGGCGCTTAGGGGCCAGCCACTGTTTTTGCAGCTGCCTGGAATTTGGGGAGGCTCTCTCAATTCTGGCAGAGGCCGGGGGACCCAGCGATTTCCTTGGTGGCTCTTTTGTGCCCGTGGGCAGGGTGGGTTGGAGCTGACCTGGGGCAGACATGGTTTTCCGTCCTCGTTTTGCCTCGAGAGGGTCTCTGACTCTGAGAGCTCTCGGGAGCCCATCTGGGGCCCGGGAAGGAGGTTGTGGGTAGGTGGAGGCCCTGCCCACCAGGGCCGTTCAGATTTAACCAGCATTTACATCTCGCTTCTTTCTAACAATGTTCGTGGCCCATGACCCGCTCCACATCTGCCCCCATCTGCCCGGCAGTGGGTTCTTCCCTGCTATGGAGTGGGCTGTGGGGGTGGGCTCCCTTTCCCTCTGTCTCCCCTCACTCCTCTCTCCAAGCTGCTGTGACAAATTACCACTAACTGGTGGCTTCAAACAACTGAAATTATTCTGTCACAGTTCTGTCATGGTGTCAGCAGAGCCACACTCCCTCTGAAGCTCTAGAGGAGGAGCCTTCCTGCCTCTTCCAGCTCCTGGTGGCTGCTAGTGCCCTTGGCTCGTGGCAGCATCACTCCCATCCCTGCCTCTGTCTTCATCTTCGAGTGGTCTTTCCCTCTGTGTCGCATGTCCTGTCTCTTTTAAGGACACCAGTCATTGGATTTAGGGCCCACCCTCAATCCAGGATGATGTCATCCTGAGATACTTAGCTTAATTCCATCTGCAAAGACTCTGTTTCCAGAGTCACAGTCACAGCTACCAGGGGTTAAGACTTGGACACAGCTTTTTGGGGGTTGGAGGGGGGGCTCACAATTCAACCCTGCACCTTCACTTCCCGCTCAGGCCCCACATTTCCTTCTTCGAGATGTCTTCTCCCACGGCTCTGCCCCCTGCTCAGGGACTTCCTGCCCACGGCATCCTCGGGGCTCCCCACGCCGTGTGTATTCCTTCTGTTAAGTATTGTGGGGAGATGCCCTGGGCTGGCAGCCTTGACCTCGCTGTCTTCACCACATGAGCCTCATGAAGGTCCTTTCTCTTCTTCCCTGGAGTTGGTGGGGGTCTTTGCATCCTGAAGGACAGTGTTTCTGGGGCCAGGGACTCCGCATGGCCCGATCTCCTCCCTCTCCGGCCTGCCCCCTGCAGTCATTTTACCAACGATGGAGAAAGAGAAGCATCTGTGTTGCGCTTGGGTGAGGGGTGCTGAGGGGGACCCCCCCCCCCCAGGAAACTTGGCACCTGCGGCAAGAAGAAGGAGAGAAATCGCCTACAGGCCTCCTGGTCACGGGAAGTCTTGTGCTTCTTCCGTGGTCTGTGCCCCTCCAGGAGGAACAGCCCTACGGCTCTCCTGGGAGGTGGCTGTCTCTTCACTGACCTGCGGTCCTAACGGTTTCCTCCTTCTAGGATGTGGAGGTCAGCCCCCAGGTGGAAGCGGTGTTGTCACTCCTGAGTGCCCCAGGGCTGAGCCTGAAGCTGGTACGGCCCAAAGCCCTGCTGGACAACTGCTTCCGGGTCATGGAGCTGCTCTACTGCCCTTGCTGTAAGGAGCTGGGGTGGATGGGGCTGGGGCAGGGTGCCAGGTGCCAGTCACTGGGCAGAGCCAGGACTCCCTGGGCAGGCCCTCTGCTCCCCAGGGCTGCAGGTCATTTCTGGAAGCCCAGATGGGCCCTGGGTATGGGGACAAAAACAGTGCGGCTTGGTCTGGGGACGAGGAGGGTGTTGGCCACTCCTGTAGTCTTTTTTCCTGTCCCCTGCAGGTAAACATAGCTCCGTCCTGAACTGGCAGGACTGTGAGTTGCCCAGCCCTCAGCCCCACAGCCCGGAGTCCTCATCATCACAGTGTGTGGCTGCCCAGCTGTACCCTTGGCCCCAGCAGCCCCCCACCTCCCTGCCCCGCTCCCCGGGATCTGAGGCTGGAGTCCCCCCTCAGTGATGCTGCCGAGGGCACGGGGCCAGGCCTCCTTCCAGAGCAGCCTGTATGGTGACCTGGGTGGGGCAGCTGGAGGAGCTCCCACGGGAGTTCAGCTGGGCCTGACACTTGGCTGCGTGGTGGTGGGAGCCCCCGCTGGAAGAGGAACCCCTGGAAGGGTGTTTGTCCTTTGGGGATTCTGTGCCTGAGAAGGGCTCAGCTTCCTGCCTTCTGTGCCTCATGTGGTCTTACCTGGGGACCTGTGGGCACCTGAAGGTGGATGAGGACCGAGCTCCCGCCCCACCTGGCACTGCCCGGGCCGCCTCCCTTGCCCGACGGCAGCACCGAACGTCTCCTAGCCTGCAGAGGCAAGAGCTGGTCGAGGGGCGGGTGGGCATGGGGCGGACACCACTCCATGAGGCCGGGGAGGGGGCAGAGCCCAACGCCACATCTTGCCACAGTGGATGCTCTTCCAGTTCCTTTTATTTTTTCTATTAAACACCTGCTTTGTTTTGTTTAGTTTTGGTTTGTTTTGCATCTGCAAGGGTGAATGGACCTGGAGAGGACCTGGAGGCCTCCACCGCCTCCCCCTCCAGCTCCAGCCACGAGCGCAGGAAGTGGGAGGGAGTCCAGGAGGTGGGAGGTCGGGGCAGCCCTGGGGCCTGAGTCTGAAGATTGGGGTTTGGAATGGACCTGGAATGGTAGGTATTTGAGGAATTGTGTTCTTCCAGTCCTGCCCTAGCACATCAGGCCTCAGAAGCCTGATCCTGGGCAGTGCCTCCCCCCATCTGGCTGCCCGAAGACAGCCCCCAGCAGGGACAGAGCTGAGGCATTCAAAACTTAGGTCCTGGCACAAGACCTGGCCACTCCTGGCCCTGCCACACGGCGCCCTGGGCTGCCTGGCCAGGGTTTCGGGATGAGAAAGGGCTGGGGCGCAGGCAGGGTGCTGCGGGGGCAGGTGAGCAGCAGCCGAGGAAGGGAGGCGGAGGCGGGGGTGTTAATTACAGTACGACTTTATTAATACTGGAATCTTCACAGTGAATTTGTTACTTGAGCAGTGACTATTTAAATCAAGGGGGGGGGGGGGGGGGTGGGGAGGAGAGGATAATTTATCCAAAAACCGACAGAAAGAAAAGAAACAAAATGGTTCAGATGGGATGGGGGGGCGGCAGGTGGAGGGAAGATGGGTGAGTAGGAACCAGGAGGGGAGGCCGGGGGTGGGGAAATAAATTAAAAAAAGGAACAAGTTAACAACAGCACCAGAAAAGTTACTTCAGTCAAAAGACGCTTTTGAAAAGAATATTTCTCTGTACAAAATGAAAAATAAAGCGAACGTAAAGAAGTCCCCCAAACCAAAGTTTGCGACGCGGGATGGTTGGCTCGGATCCCGAGGGGGTGGGCCTACGAGGTGGTCACTAAATGGACGAAGGTGATCAAGGGGATGGAGGAGTTATGTACAGCCCTAGGGTGGCTTGGAGGGGAGGGGGGACGGTGGAGCACGGGAGGGGTGCTGGCCTTTCCCCCAGGAGGCAAGCTCTTCCTCACAGGGACTTGAGGACCCATCCCCACCCCCACCCACTGCCCCTTACCCTGCTCACATCACACAACCTGCATCTTACATCAGCCCACCTGGGCAAACCCTGACGCAGCCCTGGGGGGAAGGGGCTGTGTAAGCCCCACCCCAAGGCTTCCCAAACTGGCCACCTGCTCTCCCAGCCCCTTCAGGCCCTCCCTCACCCGGGCCACCTCCAGGTACCCAAACCTGGGCTCTGGGGTTGGCCGGAGCGCTCAGCAAGGCCCTTCTCAGACCTAGCAACTTACAGGTACCATTCTCCATCGCCCTCGGGGAGCCGGGGGCGGCTCCATCCACTTAGGGGCACCCTTGGTTCCCCAGACCCTCCTGGCCATGCTGCCTGGATCCCAGCTCCTGGCACAAAAACTAGCAGGGGCTCCAGCTTGGTGCTGGGAGACTCAGCCCCAACTGCTTCCCGTCCAGACTAGGAAATGCCTGCTCTCCGGAGCCCTGCGGGACCACAGGAAGCCCTGCGCACCTGCTTTCACCTGCTTAGAGGGGGCGCGGGACATGGTACATGGAGGGGGAGGGCACCCCGCCCCACCCCCAGCACAGGGCCGGGACTGCGGGGTGACCATCCTGGGAGGGCATCTCCTCTGGCAACAGAGAGTCAAAGCCAGTCTCCCTGGACTTGCCCCCAAGCCGGCGGCCCTGGCTCAGACCGCAGCCAGGCTGCAGGCCCTGGCCCTCACCAGCCTTAATTTGGCAATGTTCCAGATGCTGGGGAGAAGAACAGCTGCCCCCGGCTTCGGCGGAGCCAATTCGGCCCTCCTCCTCCCGCCATGGCCCACCAGGCCACTGTGGAGCCCTCTGTCCCTCAGGCACTCTCGGACACACCCTGTATTGTCCACCCTGTCCCCATACACAGTCCTTGTCCAGTCAGCTCCATTTTATTATATTCATAAAATAACCCCCCACACCCTCTACAGCTCCGGCCCCCACCCCCAAAGGGGACTGAAACTGTGACCAAAGTGCCCCCAGAGTTAAGTCCTGACGTGCCCAGATGAGGACCGGACACCTGAAAGCAGCTCCCGGACCTCTGGACTCCTGCCCTGCCCCCCAACCCAGCCCCACCGCAGGGGAAGGGGAGGCTGCCTTGGGATCCCCAGCCTCCTCCACGCAGGTCCCCTTCCCCCACGGCAGCTCACCTCCCTCCCCCTGCCCTCCCAATCACCAGCCACTCTGCCCAGCTTTCCGGTCACATCTGATACGTTAGCCAGTTGGGCACCCTGGCCCCTCCATGGCCACCCTGCCTCTCTGACGGGGAGAGAAGGAGAGAAGGGGGAGGGACGGGGGGCTCAGTCAGGGGCGGAGGGCGCCAGATTCCAAAAAGCCCGAGGCACGCTGACCTGACCGGGGCCAGGTGGCCAGGCTAGTTGAGCTGTGGCACTGGCCGGAATGGCCCAAGGCTGGCCGGCCCCTTGTCGTGGACTAGGAGCATAGCCCTGGGCCTGAGATGTGGCAAAGGCAGGGCCAGCAGGAGGAAGGTGGGACAGAGGAGGCCAGGAGAGTATCAAACAGGCTCCAGATCCAGTTCAGGCCCCCAGGCTCCGCCTGGCGAGCGTGAGAGAGAAGTCACTTCCTGTCCAGCCACGGAGATCCAAGCTGGGTGTCTCTTTCCGTAAAGTGGCTTTGCCTCATGTGACTTTAAAAGAAAGCAAGCTTGCCCAGCTCTGCTCTCTCCTGGCTGTGCCTTTGCTCTGAGCCGCCGCTGCCCACTGGCCTGGCGGGAGGCCAGAGGGTGGGAGGGTGGCGCCATCACAAGATGCGGGGCGCCGACCTGTCGTTGGTGACCGTCCTGCGGAGGCGCACCCCGCGTCGGATGGCCACCAGCATGTCTTCAGCTGGGGGGTCGCTGGTGGCAGCCGGGGGCGGGGTGGGCGTTTCCTCTGCGGGGGTGGTCGACAGGGCTGTGGGAAAGGGGAACTGGCCCTCGCCCAGGGCGTGGGCGCCTGCCACCAGCTCCCCGAGCTTCTCTACCAGGCTGTGCCGGTTGGCGGCCAGCTGCTGCTGCTGCTCATCGTCCTCCTCGCCCCCAGGCCCGGGGTAGCCAGCGGCCTCGGGGGACGCGCTGCCCCAGGCTGTGTTGGGCAGGCTGAGCCTCTTCGGGGAGGCCTTGGCCAGGTCCGGCACCAGCGGCGAGGCGGCCTCGTCGGTGTAGAAGACGCACTCCTCGCTGCCCGCCCGCGTGGGCCCTGCGTAACCGGGGGAGTCGGGCACGGTGGGCGTCTTCACTGGGACAATGGGTGGCCGGATGGGGATGGGGCCAGCACTGGAGAGGGCACGGCGCACGGTGGGCTTGGTGGAGGGCGTGCGGCGTATGGTGGCCACGCCGGGAGGTGCACCCGAGGCGGTGGGCAGCCCCGCGGTGGGTAGCCCGGCGGTGGAGGCCGGGCGCTTGGTCTGGATCAGGCGGCGGTAGTTCTGGGCAATGTTGCTGTTGCGAGGGATGGTGGACGACTTGTCGAACTCGGGCGGGCCCTCGCCGTCTGCATCCCCGTTCACCGAGTAGCAGTCGTAGTCGGAGCCTGCCGGGCACGGGAGGCAGTGGGCCTGGGGCCTGGGGGCTGTGAAGGCCCAGTAACCGACCCCCAGCCCCCGGCGCCTACCTTGGGAGGGGATGGTGTCCTCGGAGCACGAGGGCGTGGTGGTCTGCGTGCTGTAGCCGCTCGAGTACTGCAGCGAGTCCCGGCTGCTCTTCTGGTGCTCCAGGCTCAGGCCGCGGGTCAGCACCATGGCCAGGTCACTGGCCGCAGGGGACACCTCCTCACCATGCTGGGGGTGGTAAGACTGCAGGCTGAAGCCTCGCTCCCTGCTTCCCCCCTCAGCCCGGACTCCAGGCAGCCCCCACCAGGTGCTCGGAGCTGGTCCTGAGACAACTCACTGGGCTCCGGCCCTGACCTGGGAGTGAAGGTGGGGCCCTGGCTGGGGTACCCGGGGAGCTGGCGCCTACCTTGGCTGCAATAGTGGCAGGGGACATGCGGGGTCGTGGTGCTTCCTCTCCACTGGGGCCCAGGGCACCCCCGCTGGCCGGGCTGGGCTCTGTGTCTCGGAGGAGCTCCACTCGGTCCTTCCTCCGCTGCAGGGTGGTGCCTGCGGGCTGCTCGTGGGGGCCGGCCTTGGACCAGTCCTGCAGGGAACGGAGGCGGGTGAGGGGGACCCTTGGTCCTACTGCCCATGGCCAAAGGGGCCCCTAAATAGTTGAGGTTCAGGGTTTCCAGGCCCATGTGAGCCTCAGGCTCACAATCATGGCCAAGGGCAGAGCACGGAGATGCTGCAACCTCTGGTCCCACTAAGCCCAGGGGCAGGAAGGGGTGTCCCAGGGGAGTGGCTGCAGGTGGTGCCCAGGCAGCTTTTTTTGCGAGAACAGGCACTCTGTGCACACCCCTCTGGTCAGACCCGGGCCCTCCCTGCATCCCGCAGTGGGTGGGGAGCACTGACCGAGGTCGGGGAGCTGCACTCGCTAACAGACTGGCAGGTTTCTGAGGCCTCGGAGGACGCAGAGCTGGAGGACTTCTGCATGCAGACGCCAGCAGGCGGGTGGACAGGCCGGGAGGCAGGGAGGAGAGAACAGACGTGGTCACAGCGCCAGCATGCAGCAAGGTGTTCGATTTAGCACCACACCCTGTATGCCCTCAGGGCCACGGCTGTGAGCATCTGCAGAAAACGCAGTGCCCAGAGCGCACACCACAGGCATGGACCTACCCCACGGCCCAGCCCAAGAACCACACATTTTGAGCATTAATTACTCGACTTGCTGCTGATGGCCTGGACTGGTGGGCAAGGGAAAGAGATACTAAGGGTGGCAGTTAGGTGTCTGGCTTGAGCAGCTGGGCTGATAGTGTCCCTGTTTTCTCAGGAGGTCAGCCGGGGGGAGGCATGAAGTCAGAGTCCATCCTGCACATGTTAAGCTGTATCTACACAGGGATGCAATGTAGGCAACTGTACTTATGACTCTGGAGTTTAGGGAGAAGCCAGGGTTGGAGCCACAAACCTAGCAGCCATGGGACAGAATAAGGTCACCTAGGTAGGGAGAGTAGTTAGAGAAGAGGGTCCGGGACCTTGGGCGTGCCAACATTTAGGGGTTGGGAAGAAGACGGTCCAGCAAAGGAGAGTGACAGCAGGAGCAGATGACATCACAGAAATCAGAGGAAGAGCCTGATGTGCAAAGGAGGGAGGGTCAGCTGTGCTGATGCTGCTGGGGGCCATCAGATGAGGGCAGCGGGGCGTCCGTGGAGACCTCAAGAACTGTTTCATAGAATGGTGGGGATGGAGGCCCATTTAAGAATGGACTGAAGCGTGCATGAGAGACACTGCTTTGGGCAGTCACGGCGACTGGCACCCTGGGAGGTCCCCCCAACTCAAAACAACTATCAAGAATGGAGAAAACAGAAGCAAGGGCAGAGACAGGACCATGAGTCCTGGAGAGTATCTACAAAAATCTCGATAGTTTCTCTCTGAGGTTGGGAAGAAGATAAGGATGCCCGCTATCACCATTCCTATTCAGCACCGGAAGTCCTAGCAGTGCAACAAGGCAAGAAAAAGAAGTAAAAAGCAAAAGGATTGGAAAAGAAGAAATAAAGCGGTCATTATTTGTAAATGACATGATTACACATAGAGACTACTCAAAAGAATCTACAATTATCAGAATTAACAAGTGATTTTAACAAGGTTAGTGGAGGGAAGACAAATGTACAAAAAAATATTTCTAAATGTTAGCAGATAACACACAATTGAAAAAACCCTAAGAAGCCAATATAATTTCTGGCAGCATCAATAAACGTCAAATACCCAGGAAAAAAATTCCAATGATAGATGTACAAGATCTTTACATGAAAACTATAAAACATTACAGTCACGTGCTGCATAACGATGGTTTGGTCAACAACAGACTGCATAAAGGATGGTGGTTGCATAAGATTAGCACCACACAGCCTAGGTGTGTAGGAGGCTATACCATCTAGGTTTGTGTAAGTGCACTCTATGATGTTGGCACAATAACGACATTGCCTAATGATGCATTTCTCAGATCATATCCCTGTCGTTAAGTGATGCATGACTGTCCTGAGGGAAGGTAAAGCCTAAATAAATGGAGAGACATACAGAATCCCAGTCAAAATCCCAGGAGATTTTTTTTTTGGTGAAAATTGACAAGCTGATATTAAAATTTATAAGGAAATGCAAAGGGCCCCAAATAAGCAAGGTGATACTGAAGAATAACAAAGCTAGAGGACTTTCATTATCAGATATCAAGATTTCTTTTATAAAGTTATAATAATTAAGATGCTGTGGTATTGGTACAAGAACAGACAAATTGACCAGTGGGACAGAATACAAACTCCAGAAACAGCCATACATATACAGATACCTGAGTTACGACAAAGGCAACATGGTAGAGCAGAAGGGGAAGAAGACAGTCTTGTCAGTAAATTGTCAGTTAGGCATCCATATGGAAAAAATGGCCCCTACCTCACACCACACACACACAATTGATTCTAGATGAGCTGCAGATCTAAGGGAAAAAGTAAAACAAAAAAGCCTTTAGCGGAAAACATCTTTGTGACCTTGGAGTACACAAAAATATCTCAGGACACAAAGAGCAGTAACAATTTTAGAAAATGGATAAACTGGACATATATTAAAATGAAGAACTTTAGGTCATTAAAAGACCCCATTAAGAGAGTACAAAGGGAGTGCACAGAATCAGAGAAGATACCAGAGGAAGGACTTATAACTATACTATATAGGAAGTTCTATGAATCAATAAAACAAGATAACCTAGCAGAAAAATGGGCAAAAAATTTGAACAGGTCCTTCACAAAAGAGGATATCCAAATGACCTTTAAAAGTATGAAAAGGTGTTCAACCTCATTCATCGTTAGGGAAATGCAAATTAAAAACACAGGGCACTACTACCATACACACACCAGAATGGCTAAAATGAAAAAGATGTAGAATACCAACGGCTGGTGAGGATGTGGGATAGCAATAAGCCACTGCTGTGCTATTCTTGCCAAAACTATGACCTCAAACTAATTATGGGAAGTCATCAGATAAACCCAAATCGAGAGCTATTCTACAAAATACCTGACTAGGACTCTGCAGAAGTATCAACGTCATGAAAGAGGAAGAGGGCCTGAAGAACTGGCAGACTGGAAAGTCGAACTAGTCACAGCTAACTGCAATGTAGGATCCTGCCCTGGGTCTTGGATTCCCGGACCAGAAAAAGGATATTAGTGAGAAAACTGGCAAAATTTGAAAAAAGTTCTAGATTAGTTAACAGCATTGTGCTCATGTTAACTTCTTGGTTTTGGAAATTGTTTGGTGGTTACATAGATGTTAACCTTAGGGTAGGCTGTGGGAGGGTAGGTGGGAACTCTATTCTTTTTGCAATTTTCCTCCAAGACTAAAATTATTAAACAAACAAACAAACAAAACCCCTCACTGGATAGGTTAAACAGCTATAAAATAGAGAAAAAGTAAATTGGAAGACAGACCTGAAGAAATTATCCAGAACGTAGGACAGAGAAACAAGGAGATGGAAAAGATGAGAGTGAAGAGACACAAAGAGAGAATGAGAAGGTCTGTCACACATTTAACTGGAATCCCAGTAGGAGAGAACAGAAAGAAAGTAGGAATAAAGAGAGGTGACTGAAAATTCCCACAACAAATGAAAGACACAAATACAAAGTTATAGGAATACAAACATCAAGTGAGGCTAAATAAAAACAAATCCATGACTAGACACATTGTAGCAAAACTAAAGAGAAGATCTGAAAAGTGGCCAGAGACAGAAGTCACATGCTCACAAAGGAGCAACAATGTAACTGATAGCAGACCTCTTCACCAACAATGGAAGCCAGAGCACAGTGGAAAAACATCTTCAAAGTAGGGAGACAGAATAACTGCCGCCTCAGAATTGTGTTCCGGGCAACATTAATTTTCAAGAAACGGGCAAAAATAATGCATATTTACATACAAACAAAAGCAAGTTTACTACTACAGATCTTTTCTAAAAGAACTTCTAAAGGATGTACTTTACTTCAGAAAGAAAGAAAGAAGAAAGATTTGAGATGCAAGAAAAAACGATGAACAAAGAAATGTGTGATCACAGGGCTAAGTCTAAAGAAATATTGTCTGTATAAAATAATGTTGAAATTAAGAAGAAAAGTGTCATTTTTAGGTGTTATAAAAAGGGAGAGAGTGACATATAATAGCTTATAAGTTGGAAGGGAGTGGGTAACTGAAGTCAAAATATATTAAAGTCCGTGAATTATTCAGGAGGAGAAGTTGTGACTTTGCTAAAGATGCATGGTAAAATTTCAACATAACCTGTAAAAGAAAAGAAATAGAGTATAACTTACAATCTGGTAGAGGGAAAATAATGGGAAAAATAAAAACCAAAGGAAAGGTAAGAGACAAAAAAAAGCACAGAAAAAGCAGAACAGATAGAAAGAAAAAAGTAAGACAAGTCTAAATATGTCAGTAATCATAATAAATATAATGGACTAAAAATGCCAATTAAGAGATAGAGATTGTCAGATTGAATAAGAAAAGAAAATCTAGGTATATGCTGTTTACAAGAGACTCATCTAAAATGTAAGGATACAGTGAATTTAAAAGCAAAGAGATAAAAGATGACAATATAAATATGAACAGAAATAAAGCTGAGGTAGCTGTAGTAATATCTAACAAAACAGACTTTAACTTAGAAAGCATCTAAGGAACAGAGGATCAACGACACCATGTTAGAAGATTCAATTTACTATAAAGATAGAGGAATACAGACATGTCAAGCGAGGTTAAAGAAAAACAAATCCTTAATAGACACACTGCAGCAAAACTAAAGAGAACATCTGAAAAGCGACCAGAGAGAGTAGTCAGATCACTCACAAAGGAGCAACAATGTGACTGATAGCAGAGCTCTTAACCAACAACGGAAGCCAGAACCCAGTGGAAAAATATCTTTTAAATTTGTATGCGCCTAATAAAACAGTCTCAAAAAATATAAAGGAAACATGGATAGAACTATATGGAAGAAATGAACAAATCTATGGTTTTTCAATTATTTATCGGTGGAGACGACAGGAGTGAGTGGGAAATGAGGTAGAAATGGTCGGGGTAGACAACTCTTTTGAGAAGCTCTGCTGTGAAGGAGACTAGGTGGCTGGAGGAGAACGTGGGGGCAAAGGAGGGCTTTTGAGATGGATGAGACTAGAGTATGTTTGGGTACTGATAAGAATGAGCCAGCAGAGGGATAGAGACTGGCAGCACAGTGGGGACACCCTTGGTTAAAAGAACAAGAGAGCATAGAATGCTGAGCTCAAATGGAGGCACTAGCCATGATGGGGAGGGACAGCAGACAGATACAAATGCAGGCAGGGTCACTCTTGATACCCTGAGGACAGACCTTGGGCATGTGGCCTGACCTCCTTTTGTCTTCTGCTGTGGTCTCTCTGTCCATCTCATTGAGGCTGCAGGATCTGAGCCTGCATCTGAGGCCAGTCTCTGGGTTCAGAGTGAGTGGCTCAAGTGTGGAGACAGGGGAGGATGTCTGCAGATCCTGGGTACCCTGGGGATGTGTCCTAGGGCCAGCCACTCCATCACTGTAAGCCTATGCAGGAGAGCTGAGGCGCCAGAGCTGGCAAGCTGCCCACTCCCAGCTCCTACGGCGGGATGAAGATAGGAGGCAAGGAATTGAGAAATGGGGAGGAAGTGGGGCCACAAAAGCCCCCTGCTGTGGCAGATGCTGGTGCTCCAACACCTTCCCCACCTCTCCTTAGCCTTGAAGCAGTGAGCTCACATTGGTCCCCAATGCAGTGGTCCTGGGGACCTCCAGGCCAGTCTCAACAGGTGTAGGTGGCCCCACATGTGGACAGCCTGAAGCTGGCATGAGGCTGCAGCACCCTACCCCAGGTGGTCCTGTGGACACTGGCTCACCTGGCTGGTGATGTCTGAAGGCATGGGTGAGGGTGGCTTGGAGTAGGTGGCATCCTGGGAGATGAAGCCAGAGTCGTGGGAGGAGACACTGGAGAGGCGGGCGGTGGTGGTGGCTGGCTGCGCCAGGCTGCGGTAGCGACAGGTGGAACTGGGTGAGTATGTTTGGGCACCCCCAGGCCATGGGGCTCCGCCACCCTTGGCACTGCTACTGCTGCTGGGGGCGCTGGGGGAGTAGAAGAGGCAGGCACAGCAGCCAGACAAGAAGACACAGGGGTGCGTATGGAAGGGAGGGTGACAGACGAGGGTAGGGGAGAGAGGAAGGGGCAAAGGAAGGAAAAGACAATGTCAGACTACAAGGTCCTGAGACCAGGGGCCACAGAGGAGCTGGGTTCTGGGATCTTGGGGGAGGGCGGGGCCTAGGCAGGGGACAGCATTGAAGAGCTGGTCCAGCGCCTACCCCTGGAGTGCCCCAGTGCTCCAGGGTATGCCCAGGGCGAAGCTGTCTCTCTGCCTCCTACTCTGCCATTAGGAACAGTAGACCTTAGGTTAACAATGGGGAAACTGAGTCACAAGTGTCGAACAGTTTCACAGTTGGGCTAGAACCAGACACAAGTGTGGTCATTTCTAGACTGCCTTCGCAAAGTCTGATGTTTACCATCAAATCCTATTTGGTTGTTTATGTGTGCTGATGGTCTGTGTGGGTCCTGGACCCACCACCGCCCTCATCCCCTCCACCCTGAGGGTGTCCACCCTCCCTAGCTCAATCCTCCACACAACCATTTCACCCTTGGGCATGCTCCCGGCACTTAAGGTTGCCTTCCTCCTGAGTTTGACCCTGAGGCCCTTCAGCCCCCAGCCTTGGTCATGGGTGTCCCCTGCAATCAATTATCCCTCCTGTGATGGCCACCCACTTGGGGTCCGGCAGACCTGGGCCCTCCTCTCCCTGCAGGAGATGCTGATTGCTGTGCCCGGCTTTCCTCCCAGGCCCCATGCTCAGTACCCAGCAGAGGCTGTTCTGGGGAAGGGTGCCTGGCACAGAGGGTGCTCCCCACCAGTAACTCGCTCTGTGCTCACTGCTCTCCCCCTGAGGAGCCTTGAATCTTAACTGTCTCCTCCAAATCCTGCCCCGGGGACAGCCCTGGAAGCATCCCTGATCCGGAGACTGCCCGGTGATTGAAGGAGACCTCGGGGCCAGCCTGGGTTGGGGTTCGGGCCTGTGGCATCTGCCGGGCACCAGCTCTCAGGAACCAGCCACGCTGGAGGATCCCTTACCTTGTGGCCTCAGCATATGTTCCCAGAAGCCTCCATATTCTTCCCTGACCTAATTCTTTTTTTTTTTTTTTGAGGAAGATTAGCCCTGAGCTAACATCTGCTGCCAATCTTCCTCTTTTTGCTGAGGAAGACTGGCCCTGAGCTAACGTCTGTGCCCATCTTCCTCTACTTTATATGTGGGATGCCTGCCACAGCATGGCTTGCCAAGCGGTGCCATGTCCGCACCCGGGATCCGAACCTGCAAACCCCAGGCCGCCGAAGCGGAACGTGCAAACTTAACTGCTGCACCACTGGGCCGGCCCCTCCGACCTAATTCTTACTATTCCCCCAGACTGTGCTGGGCCAGGCAGAGCCCAGTGGCTAAATGCTGGGACTCTGTGCCTCAGTTTCCCCTTCTGTGAAATGGAGACAACACCATACCTGATACGGTGGTGTTAGGATTCAGTGAAGAAAATGCACAAAGCATTTACTTATTGCTCCGTAAGTGGAGCTGCTCCTGCCCTCCTCTTCCTGCTAACACCTGTCTGGCACCAGCAGCAGCCTTGCGACCAGGGTCCATGTGTCGTCTACACTTGCAAATTCCTTGATGACGTAGACATTGTGGGATTCTGGGGCCCTGAAGCAATTCTTGATGTGGCTTTGGTAGGAGCTTCCCCATTCCCTCCTGGGGTACCCCTGGCCCTCCCGACCCCATCACCCTCCCTGCCCCCTGACCTGCACATGCTGGACTTCCGGGAGCTGGAGCTGCTGGGTGATGAGGGTGGGGTCTGGTATGACCAGCTGTAGTCAGAGCCCTTCAGGTCTTTGATCACCTGGATGGGACAGGGATGGGGTCACTGGAGGCAGCCCTGCTCTACAGAGAGCCTTATCACTTTCCTGGGGCCCCCACTCTCTTCTCTATTTAGAACCAGGCCCCAGCAGGAGGCCCCCAGGAGTCTGAAGGCCCCCCCAGCTTTTTCCAAATGCAAGCTCCTTACTCAGGCAGGTGGGAAGCAGGGCTGCCAGAGGGCTGGGGGTGCTGGGGGGAGATTCTGCCCTCTCTGATTCTCAGGGATGCTGCCTCCACCTGGGCCAGGCCCCCTCAGCTCACACACACTGAGTGGATTCTGAGCCCAGCCTGGGCCAGACAGGGGACATGGGAGAACCAAGCACTCCTGAGGATTCACTGTCACTGGCAGAGGAGCCAGGCAGAGTGACCATGGAGGACACCATGAGCTTCAAATTCCGGCTCTGCTGTGCCCCTTGGGCAAGTTCCTGGACCTCTCTGAGCCTCAGTTTTCTCCCGTGAAATGTAGGCAACTGTTCTTGTCTTAGAGGTGATTCAGTAAGATATGCTCAGCGGAGTGCTGGGCATACAGTGAGCTCCTAGTGAGAGCAATGCCAGGTAGGGCTGATGCTGGTGCAGTGGGAGCACAGTGATGGGGTGAGGTGGGCAGGGCGGCATGTGTGTGCAGGTGTGCCTGTGTCTAGCGGAGGTGACAGGTTCTGGGCATGGGTGGCGGCAGGCATTGCCAGGTCTGGCTTGCTCAAGTGGAGACTGGGGGCAGACGCAGGGCCAAGGCCCACGGATCTGGGACTCCACCCACCTGCTCTCAGGCTGAGGCCCCTGCTGGGTCCTGGGCACGCCACCCCTCACCCGGGCAGGTGCTCCTGGGTGCCCCACCGTGGGTGTTGAGACATGTCTGGTCCTCTGTCCCCAGCTACCTCCCCCAAATGCTGTCCCCTTCCTCCTCTACTGTCCCCAGTCAAGGGCAGGCCCTCCCCTGGTCCCCCATCCCCAAGGCTGGTCGCACCTGCTCGCTAGCGGGAGGCAGCTTGTGCGGCTCAGCGGTCAGCACCACCAGGTCGTCGATGATGCCCTGCAGGTGGGTGATCTCACCCAGCATGGTCAGCTCGCCGTTCTGGGGAAGCAGCCCGTCAGACCCACCGGCCCTCCCTGCTCGCCCAGCCTGGAGGGACAGGCCTCACCTGGCCTCTCTCTCTCATCCTCCCCACTAGCCCAGGCTGCTCGGGGTGACAGAGGCTGGCACGACCATCCATCTGGACCAAATACATGCATGAGCTACGAGACCTGTCTTTGGGCCAGGAGCATGTGGCTCTGAACGCACCCAGCCAGGGATCACTGAGAAGCGGCCTTCTTTGAAGGTCAAAGGGTCAATCCTGGGCCTGCCCCAACCTGCCAGGACCTCTGAGTTACCCAGAAGAACTCTTGCCCAGTGGCTCCCAAATCCTGATTCTTGGGATTTTGGGGGGACCTCTCAACTAGCCCAACTGTGGGGATGCTCAGAACGCCTCTCTGCCCCTGAGGGACCTACCACCACAGGCTGCAGGAAGGTGATGAAGGTGCAGAAGCGGCCGCGCTCCTCGATCAGGGCCCGGCGCACGGCCTGCTTCTCCGTCTCCTCCAGCAGCAAGTACATGTCGTTGACGTCCTGCAGGGCGCTGTCCAGCTGGGGCTGCAGGTCTCCTTTCCCTGGAGGGGTTGGGAGGAGAGGCCGCGCTGGGGACGCTGGCCTGGCTCGCTGCCTCCATGGCTCAGGGCCCATGGTGATGTCCCTGGTTGTGGGGCTGGGCACTGCCATGGGGGCCAGGGGACCAGGGAGGGTGGTCAGGACTGTGGGGCTTGTGGAGGGGCTGGTCCCAGAGCAGGCAGAAAGGAAAGACAGAAACGCACACAGGAAAGACACCAAAGCTGCAAAGCCACCCAGGACCTGGGGCAGCCCTTGGAGCAGCTGTGCTCAGGGGAGCCCAGTGGAGGCCTCCACAACAGCTGAGTCTTCCACCCCCAGGATACCCTCACTGTCCGTGGGACGGTGCCCCCTGGCCCCACAGGGCACAGGAAGGTGGGGTGGAGGCTCAGCTCTAGGCCAGGCCCCTGCAGGGTGCTGGGCTCAGGAGAGCTAGGGGCTGGGTCCTGGGGGCAGGGAAAGGAGGGTATCTCAGTGTGGGCCCCCACTCAGCTTAGGGGGAGATGCACAAGGACAGCAACAGTGACACAAAGAAGCAGCGAGAGACAGAGAGAGGTGAGAGGATGATGTAGAGGAGATGGTGAAACAGGAAGTGGGCAAGCGACAGGTATGGACTCTGGGCAGGCCTGGCTGGGGCAGGGCAGCCAGGGCCTGTGTCCCCCACCCCACCCGGTCCAACCCCTCTTGGCCTGGCAGACTGACCCAGCAGTGGCCCCCGACTCATCCCTGGCCAGGGGCCCTGGGGGCCCCAGGAGGACTGTGCCCCAGGCCCCTCCCTTGCTCGACGGACAGCCTTCCTCGCTCGTCCTTGGCCTGGAGAGGTTCCTTCCAAAGGCCCTGAGCTGGGGGAGACAGACAAATGCGACAAGGACGGGAGGAGCAGCTGGAGGGACGGACATTTGACTTACCAAGTAGCTCTACAGGAAGGATGTGGGAGGAGGAGAAGAGAAGAGACAGAGAAAGAAAGAATGTGTGAAAGACAGCCGGATGGACAGAGCCACTCCTGGGGGGGGGGGGGGCGCGGGGGCCTGGGCCTGAGGGGTCTCCTGCTGCCTCCCTGAGAGGGTCCTGGGCCAGATCTGGGGTGCAGGGTGCTCCCTCCGTCCCACCCAACAGGTTGGAGGGTCCTGTGTCCAGAATAGGGCTCCTTTGGCCAGGAGGATGATGCCCTGGGGTGCCACATGGCGGGGAGGCTGGTGGAGGGGGATACGGAGTGGGGCCCGGGGGGGCTGTGCCTGATGGGCCGCTCTGGGCTCTACCTTTGCGCGCTTTCTTCTGCAGCTTCAGCGTGTCTGAAGACTTCTTTTTGATCTCATGCCGGGCTCGTTTGTACTCTGCGCAGAGGGGAGAGAGGAGCGCTGTGATGGGGGTCTCTGCGGAGTTGGGGCCGAAAGCCCCCGCCCCAGCTCCGGCCCCACCTTTCGCGTGGTCCTTGTCCAGTTGGTTGGCTGACTTCTTCCAGTCCTCGATGCGCTCCTGCAGCGGGTTGATGAGGCTCTCCAGCAGTGCGCTGTGGGCGGGGCACGCAGGTCAGGGCTACTAGGGTGGGGATGGGGTGGGGTTGTGTCTCCCTGCGTCCCCTGCGCCCGCCCACCCGCGGCGCCCACTCACTTGGTGAACTGGCGCAGCTTGGTCTCGATGCTGCGGTGGCGCATGCACATGCGCGTGAGCGCCGAGCCGATGTCCCGCGTGGCCCCTGGCGAGGCAAGCGCGCGGGGTGGGAAGGAGCCCGCCCGGGCCTCTGCAGTCCCGGCCTGTGGCCACCAGGGGGCGCGCCGGCCCGCGAAGACCCCGCAGCCCGCGCCCGCCCACCGCATTCCGCAAGCCGGCGGGCCGCTGCGGGGATTTGATCCTGCCTCAATATTTACCCAGGCCCTAGTCCGCATGGGGCCAGGCCCTGCCCACCCCGGCCATGCCTGCCTCCTGGAGCTGCGGATGTTCTCGTTGTCAGACCAGGAGCCTCCCTTCGCCCCAGCTGGCAGAGGCCAGCATGAAGGACCATGCAAAGAGTCAGCCAAAATTCCCTCCCGCCCACAGGGAACCACCTCCAGCTGCACACAGATGCAGGCACCAAGGTGTGAGCACCTGTCCATTGCCTTGGTTCTCACCACCCGAAGGAACAGGGGCCCCGGCTCCTGCGACTCGGACCAGAAGGCAGAGGAGACACCCAGGCAAACAGGGAACCTCCCCTGTCTCCGGGGGTTCTCAGAAGGGCAATGGGATGGATGAGAAGCCATAACCAGACTTACTGTACAGAAGGGTACAACTGTACACTGTACAACTGTGCCTGCAGGGTCAAGTGAGCCACCCACAGCAATAATGGAAGCCCCCTGTAGTAATCCCTGTCACTGCTCACCCACTCCTGCTTGCATGCCTCTAATGATGAAGGCCTCACTCGCTCCATAACCAGCCCCTGCCATTATAGAGCAGAACTCAAGGTCCTGACTCTGGGCCTGGTGTCCTCTACCTGGCTCACACTCCACTCAGCCTTTCCAGCCTGCAAGCCCAACCTGGGGCATCCCCAACCTCCAGCCACGCCCCCTCCCCACCTCGAGTGTTGGTGGCCATGTCTGCCACTTTCTGGAAGGCATCCAAGAAGGCCACAGCAGCCAGCACAGTGGTCCTGGGGAGATGGACAGTGGGATGGTCTGTGGGTGAGCTGTCCTCTGTCCCGCCCCTCCCCAGCTGGGGCACCCTCAGCAGCCTCACCTCAGCTGGGAATGCAGCTTTGTGGCCTTGGAGTTGAAGTCCTCCCAGATGGGGTAGGAGCTCTGCCGAGGAGATGGGAGAGGAAGTGAGACTCCTTGGGGGCTGCTGGGCTCCACCTGTGCTGGGCTCCCCACATGCCTCCAATCAGATTCTGGGCAGTTTCTGAGAGAGCGGCTCTGTCCCCACAGAGAGGGAGGCTCCTGGGCCCTCTGGGAGAACAGAGGACCAAGGACAGAGCCATCGGGCACGAGGAGGGCCTGGCTCTAGGAACAGGTGCCTTTGCTCATCCCTCTCTCCCTGACAGTCAGGAGGTCTGTCCTACTGTCTACAGTGGCAACCATCTTGGCCCTCAGGGGACATGGAAACAATAAATGGCAGGTCCTGTCTCCTCGGGGCTCCCCAGAGGCCTGGCAGGGGATCTGGGCTGAGCTGTAGGAGGGGCACCATGTCCCCCTGGACACAGCCTGGGATGGTCCACATGGCACGGGCGCAGAGGTACAGTGTGCAGTGACAGGGCTCAAGGCATGCCAGGTCTAAACTGGGGCCTCTGGGGGCCCATACCCTGTGCCCCGGAAGCTGCTGCCAGCCCAGCCAGCTATCCATCCCAGGCCAGCAGCAGTGGCTCCCAGGCCTGGGGAGGCTGTGGCTGCTGCAGGGCCTGGCCAGCCTGCCCGGGACAGCCAGGCCCTGGGCTGAATGGAGCCTTGTGTGGCCAACAGAGCTACCTTTCTCCACCCCCGGCTCCCCTCCCCTCCTGGGGACACACTGTGGCCTTTATCCCAGCCTGGCCCAAAGCTATGAGTTGGGAGGGGGTTTCCCAGTAGGGAGGCTGGGCTCCTGGCGACCAAGTTGTCCAGTCTGATCAAGGGGCTTTTCTGGCTAATGTGCCCTCCTGCAGCTGCTGGGTCCTGGAGGAACCTCAGCCCTGGTCCAAGGGCCCTGTGCAGGGCTCCGTCCTCAAAGGGGAGCCCTGAGCCAGCAAAGCCCCAGCCCCAAGGGGCTTCCGACCCTCCCTTCCAGGTGGGATGGGGCACTGGGGGCTGGCGCTTTTCCTGAGGAAAGGGGGAAGCAGAGACCCCAGCAGCCCCCAGGGCCTCATAGGGAGGCTCTGCCTGGCCGGAACCCCGGAGCAGGTTCTAGCTGGCCTCTCCAGCTGAGGACGGCCTGCAGGGGTGGAAAGGAGACAGGACAGCTTCAGCAAGCCTTAGAAAGTCCCTCCATTCCCGGCGCAGCCCAACCAGGGTCCAGGGAAAGTAAATATTTGAGTTCACACAGGCTGGGGCGGGAGGGGGAGGCTGTGGGTGGGCTGTCTCCTCACGGGCACAGCTCAGGGGTAAAGGGACCTGGGATGTGGTCCCTGGCAGTCCTGAGGAGCTAATCCACATCTCAGCATGCCCAGGAGCCTTCTGAAAGGTGGCAGCCTCCTGCCACCTTGACCCTTCAGCCCCGAAGCCTTGCCAAGACCTCTAGGGAGGAGAGATGATGCTGGGGGTGCAGGGTCCAGAGGTGGCTCTTCTGGCCCCCAGGAAGCCTTCTCAGCGCCTTCAGCAGCCTCTGGGCAGTCTGAGAGAGCAAGGGACTAGGAGAAGCTGGAGAGAGACAGGTCCCTACTCCACTGAAGTCCCTGGGCTGAGCCCATTCCCTCAGCTTCCACCCAGATGAACCTATTCCATCCCAGGCCTTCACAGCCTTGATCTCCCAGTGGGGAGAGGACAAGATGAGGCGGGGGGAGGCCAGGCCCAGTTCCTCCTCAGCAGATGGCCGAGCACCTCAGTCTCTAAGGACTGGGGACTCCACTCCCCACCAATAATTCATAAAGGACCCCAGAAACAGGAGGTTGAGGGGCTGGGACAGCCAGGGCCCAGAGAGCATCCTCAGTCTTCACCTGGGCCTGCACTCTCCCTGCGGCCATGCCCTGGCTGGCAGGCTCTAAGACTCCGGTTTATCATCACTAATAACAGTAATTGGTACTGCTGACCAAATGCTGCAGTGGGCCAGGCCCTGAGCTAAGCCCTTCCATTGTGTGATCATATCGAATCCTTCCAAAGGCTCCTCAAAGGAACACAATTATCACCCCCATTCTACAGATGAGGAAACCGAGGCTCAGACTTGCCCAAGGCCACTGAGTGGCAGGGCCAGGATCTGATCCCATGTCTGATGGTCACTCCACATCAGGGCAGAGGGCTGAGTACCTGGGCATCAAGGGTGAGGAGGTGGCAGGGACAGGAGAAACACCAAGCACCGCCCCCTGCTTGTCACTAGAAGTGCCCAAGAGGATGGGATGACACCGATAAGGAGGCTGCTGAGGCTCCAGGCCCTTGGAGACTGTCTATGTCCAGGTGGTGGTCGTGGTTCAGAAGTGGGCTGTGCAGGGAGTGACCCAGGCTGCGATCCGAGAGAGAGGGCTTGCCGGTGACCCTGGGCCAGGGCCCCTCTCTGAGCCTCAGTTTCCTCACCAGTCAGATGAGGATGGGAACGGCACCTGTGTCCTCGGTCAGCGTGGAGACTTGAGGAGACACTGCAGAGGACGCCCTCGGCACTGTGCCTGGCCCGGAGTGAGTGCCCAGTCAGTGCTGCACCTCTGCCTGGAGCCCTCCCGCCCGGCAGGGCCTACGTGTCTGGGTGATCCTCCCTACTCCAGAGAGGATCGGCAAAGATGATGACCCCATTTTCCGGATGGAGGCCTCATTCATTCCGCTGAAGGTGCAGTCCGGTCTGCTGGGGGCCTGTGGCAGAGCGCCGGGTGCTGTGCCCAGTCCTGTCATCTTGGGCAAGTCCCCGCTCCTCTCTGGGCTCCAGTGGGCAACTAAGCTGAGTTAAACGAGGCACAGAAGGCAGGGAAAGCTCCTGAGGGCTCCCCTCCCCATCCCTGAGCTGGTATCCTCCTCTAGGCCCTCCAGGCTCCAGGGCAGCCCAGGGAGCCCTCCCTGCCCTAGTGGGCTACCCAGAGGCCAGGGGCTGGGCCTCCCAGATGGTCAGAGTGGGCTATTGTGGGGCCTGTGGAAGCCCTGGGGGACAAGTTCAGCCTCCTCGACGTGGCCACCTTCCTCTGTGGAAGCCCCCCTGCTTCTGTGGCTCAGGCCATTGAGGGAAACAGCCAGGGGCTGGCCCCAAATCCAGGTGTTTGGCCTCCAGGTGGCCCAGTCCGCTGCTCTGTCCCTGGCCTGAACACATGCCTGTGTCATAGGTACTTGGCATCACCCCAGGTGAAACCTCTCCCATTTTGCCCACACATAGCAGAAAATCCTGCCTGAATCTCTTGCTACACTCTGGATCTCTTTCCTTCTGTCTCATCCCAAAGTTCCTTGCAAATTGCCCGGAGAGGCAGGGAGGCGGTCCTGCCCCTCTTCTCCGAGCGGAGCAAAAGCTGCTGCTCTCTGCAGTGTTTGCGGAGAGAGGCTGCCAGCGGGAGGAGGGTGTGGGAAGGTCCCACCCTCTGCCAGCCCTGGGAGTGCCTGGGGGAGGGAGGTAGGGGGTGCCTGGTCCTAGGAAGGGATCCTGGTGGCAGGGCTGTGATGTCCACAGGGCAGGAGGGGCTGCTGAGGGCAGAGAGAAGCCAGGACTTCGGAGGGCTGGCAGAAGGGGCCCGGTGGTGTTGCAAGGGATGGCGGTCTCAGGGGAGGATCCTGTATGGGGGGGTGGTGGTGGGGGGCACCTCCATGCTGCTAACACTGCAGTCCCAGGTGAGGGTGGCTTCAGGCGAGGATCCTGTATGGGGGGGTGGTGGTGGGGGGCACCTCCATGCTGCTAACACTGCAGTCCCAGGTGAGGGTGGCTTCAGGCCTCTTCTAGGGGCAGGGATGTGGCCCCTGGGGCTGTTCCCCTGGCAGCATTGGGAGCCACCCAAAGGGCCTGCCCGACACTCTGGGGCGGGTTGCAGCATGGTGTGTGGTGTTTCCTCCCGGGCCTGCGATGTCACCGTGGGATTCTGTGTTGTGTACTTGGGAGTGTGCGACAGGCCATGAAGATGGGGGCCCACAGTCCTGCCCCAGAGGAGAGGGTATGGTCGCTGGTTCTTGGCCCCCACCCTGAGCTGGAGCTGGATCTCCTCTCTGCCTAGTCAGCCTGGGCCAGCCCTGACAAACCCTGGCCTCTTTGGGGCAGAGGTCCCCTAGCTCCCTACATCAACAGTGAGTGGTGAGGTCAGGGACAGCATCCAACAGTCTCCTTAATGACCTTGAGCCATTCCCAGGCCTCAGTTTCCCCACCTGGTGGGCAGGGAATTGGTGGCCTGCTCCAGCCTGACCTTGGCAATCACAGCGATTGTAGGAGTGCCAGGGTAGGGAAGGCCCTCCCTTGGGGTTGCTCCACCAATCCCAACCTTCTCCTGTCCTCCTCCCAAGGTGAGGACAGAGGCCTTGGGATGCAGGGAGACTCGGCCTGGAGACCTTGGAGGCCTGGAGCTTCCTGGGGCTTGCTGCCACGACAAGGGGACAAGGGAAGTGGGGGGTGGCAGTCGCGGCGGCCTGGCGGGGAAGGAGTTAACGGTTCTCTGCTTCATTATTTCCCCGGCATTGGTGGTGACAGCATTGTCTGGACTCAGGGGCGTCGGGGGCGGGGGGCACGGCGGTAGAAGGGGGCAGAGGCCGGAGACCCCAGACCTGTTAAAGGGCTGTAGTCGCCCCCAGAGCCAAACCCCATTCACGGTTTGGGGGTCCGGGGCGCAAGGGAGCCCGTGTGTGTCCAGGCTCGCGTCCGGACCCCACGGGTGCGCACAGACTCCGGACACCGCACGGATGCCCCGACACACGAGCACCCACATCCCCCCAGACAGGCACCCGAGACCTGGCTGCACAGCAGACGCAGGCCGGACACGGACACACTCAGACAAGGACACACAGACACCGCGGCGCACGGACACAGCAGGGCACCGCTGCCCGCCGCCGCGCGTCCCCAGAGGGGACCCGCACCCGCGCGCCCGGCAGCGCCGGCCCCGCCGCGCCCCGTTACCTTCATGTCGTTGACGATGGCCTGGAAGAGCCCGCCCAGGGCGCCGCACTCCTTCTCCGCCGTCTCCATGCTCGGGCCGGGCGGCGGCGGGGCGCAGGCAGGGCGCGGGAGCCGGGCCGCGCGGGCGCTCGCTCCGAGGCCGCCGGGCCTGCCGCCTCCGGGCCGCGCTCAGGGGCCGTCCGCGCCGCGCTCCGGGGACGCGGGCCGCCGCGGGGCGGCGCGGGCCATGTCGCGGCGGGGTTGGCGGGCGGCGCGGGGGGCGCGGCGCGGGCGGCCGGCGGCGCAGCCTGGGCGCGGGGACTGAGCGGCGGCGGTAATCCGAGCCGCCGAGCCTCGGCGTCACGTGGGCGCGGCGGAGGGAGGGGGGAGCGGCGAGGGGGGAGGGCGCGGCGGGAGGGGGCTGTGGGAAAGGCCGAGCGGGCGCAGGCCCATTCACGGCCAGGAAGCCGGGCTTTGAAATCCGAGCCGGGCGCTGCCAGACTGGTCGGGCGAGCGGGGCCCCGCGGGCGCGGGCGCCACCGCGGGTCGGGGGCGGCGCCCGCCCGGCTCCCCGTGGGAGTGGGGCCGGTGGTTGGGTGCCCGCGCCCGGGAAGCAGCTCAACTCCGCCTTCCAGCCTTTGGTCTCGGGCCCGGGGGGCTTCCCGCGCTTTCAGCAGACAGGCAGAGGGCTGGGGTCCTCCGGATGCATCCCGCGGGACGGACACACCACCCACAGCGGGGACGCACGGTGTCCTGGGGGCCGTCCTCCTTGGGACGTTTCATCCCAGGCACAGATGAGTTAGGACCCTTCTCCACAAGTTCTTTGGCTCCTTTTCCAAGCGATGCCGATGCCACTAGGATGAGGTGCCCAAGGCTAGGCTTTTGGGGGTGGCAGTGTCCTGGTCCTCAGGCAACCTCCTTCCTCGGAGTAGGGGCCCCGTGGGACCAGCATAACAGAGGTGGGTCGCTGTCTCCAATCCCTGATGCCTGGGTACACGTGTGTGGACACGCATGCGTGTTCACGTGGGACACGACGAGTACAGCCTGCAGTCCTGGAGACTCCAGGCAGGGAAACCCACCCTCTGTGCCAGGCTGGGGCTCTGGGGAAAAGCGCACACAAGCTCTTTCTCCCCCAACTCCAGGGGCCTCGAGAGCCACGTGGGAGCTCCTGAGGCCAGAAGAGGCTTCCCAAAGCCTGGGGTCAGGCGGACCCTGGCCTATGGTGCAGTGAGGTTAGGTTCATTTAGCCAGATCAAGGGGGGAGGTACATGGGAAGCCGCCTCCCTCCCTGCACTGGTGGTGGCCTTCCCTTCCCTCCCCAGGGATCTGCAATGTGCAATGCCCATTCACTCAGAAACTCCTGAGGCTCAGTTCATCCGTCCAATGGGGACATGTCCCATTGACCTTGGGGGAAATCAGGATGGAAAAGTCAAGATTAGGTGCCTGGGAAGGTAGAGTTCAAGGTTCCAGGCCAGGACAGTGTTTGGGGTTCTCCAGGAAGAGGGAGTGAGTCCTGGAGGTGAGAGCTGGAACCTCAGGGCCACGTCCCTATCTGGTAAGAGTGCAGTGGCCGGCCTCTCTTGGTGCAGCAAGCACTTCCTGGGGCCACAATGAGACCAGGTCTCCAGGAGCGAGGTCCAGGGGCAGCTACCAGTGGGAAGGAGCAGGCAGGCTCAGGTTGAGGGTATTCTGTCATTTCTTTATTGGGGCAGAGGGTGTGTCATTCATACGGACCTCTATGCTGGCCCTGTGTGCACACAGGTGCGTATATGCATGTCTGCACGAGGCCAGAGCTCTGGTGGGCTGGGGAGGTCAAGCTCTTTTATAAGAGGATATTAGAAAGAGACTGATTCCAGAGGATGAGTGGCATCTGAGGCTGGGGCCCCGCCCAGGTGGGAAGCCAGCTCTGTCTGAATGCCAGGGTGCAGCTGACAGCACTGGAGGCCTGGGGGTTGCGCTGTGAGAGGAGCCTGGGTGGACAGAGCAGCCTCTGTCTGACCACCCTGCTCGGGGCTAGTGGCCAGGCCCAGCCCTGCCCCCGAGCCAGGTCCTTGGGCACCATGGGGAGGGGGCCCGAAGACCCCGAGTGCTCCATGGGACCACTCCTTGGGCCCTTCTCTGTGCCAGGCCTGTCAGAGGACAACTTTCCGGTCCAGGTGATCCCCACGCCCACTGCGCTGGTGCCGCACTTCCAGGTGCTTCTTCTGGACCTTCTCAAAATGCTGCAGCAGCTCTGCGTAGTCGATGCTGGGGGCGTCTGCTTTCTGCGACTTGGGGGCCGCCTTCAGACTGTCTCTGGGGAGAGGGAGAAGGGCTCAGCGTCAGTGTCTCAGCACACGTGGGAGCTGCTCGGGGGGAAGCGTCACCAGGCACAGGAGGGCAGTGAGGTTGGGGCAGGGCTGCAGGCTGGTGGGACTCAATCTGGGGAGTTTGTCCGCCTCAGGCCTGGCAACCCTTCACCAACAGTCAGCCCCAGAGTTGGGAAGTCCCGTGAGCATCCCCTCCTTGTGGTGGTGGGACCAGTCAACATGGCCATTTGGATATGGCCTTCAGCCTGTGGGCTAGCGACAGCGCCCAGAGCAGGCATCTCCCTGGGAAGCATTTCCTGTTTACAAGTGGCTCCCTTTGGGGTGAAAGCCAGGGCTAGCAGCCAGCTAGGAAGCCAGCTGGGGCCTGGAACAGGGTCCAGGGAGAAGGGGAGGAGGCAGCCTGGCCCTTTGTCTGGGGCAGGGCTAGGGCCTGGGACAACAGGGATGGCTGAAGAGTCTCTACTGGGTCCTCGACTTGGCAGGACATCTGTTTCTGAGTGTTGAGGTACAGAGGTCTGCAGTCACTCCCTGTTCCTGGGGAAGGAGAGCTGGTCTCACCACTGGACATATTAACAGCTCCTATAACTCCTGTTGCTACCACCCACCCAGGTTGCTCTGTACAGCCCCACAGGTTGTGCATGGCACAACTACAATGTGCCTGGTGCTCCCTATAGTTGTGCAATGTAGTAGCCCTGCTGCCCGCTTCAAGCCTAATGTTTAGCTTGCCCTGGGGACTAGATCCCCACGGGCCCCTGTCCCATTCCTCACCATCCCTCCAGCAGAGTCTCATGAAAGGCTGCTCCTCCCTCATTGTGGCCTGGCAAATATCTGCGTCCAGCCCCTGAGGCCTGGTGGCCCCAGTAAGGGTCTCATGACAGCTGTGGGTTGTTCACGAGAATCCTTGTGCTCTCTGAGTTCATAAGAGACCCCCAAATGGGGGGTCCAGGCAGCAGCTCAGTATAGGAGCTAGACAGACCTGGACCCAACTGTAACACGACCACTTCCTGGCCATTTGACCTCAGACATGAGACTTCGTTTCCTCATCTGTAAAGGAGGGGGGGATGCCATAGGAGCACCCCATGGGGTGGTGGTGAGGATTCCTCCAGACTCAACACAGAAGGGCTTAGCCTGGCGCCCAACCTGGTCTAGGTACCCAATGGGCAACCACTGTGATCACAGTTCTGTCCCCAAGGTAAGGCCAGCCAGAGTCTGGCAGCTCAAGGCCTGGTGTGCATAGCTGCTCAGTGCATTCTGGGGGAAATGTGATGGTGTTTCACCCAAACGGACCCCTCACCAATGACCTCGGCCCCTGGTAAGGCACAGGCGACCAATGGTCAGAGCATGACAGGTGTCCCTGACTATCCACCAGGCTGCTGGGGCAGGACCAGGGGCCGTGGGAACCTTCCCATGGTTGGGAGGCCACCTGGAGCCTGGAGGTGGCCCCCTGCACCGCTACTCGGTCTGTCCTTCTTGCCTTCCTGTTGAAGATGCATCCCCTGAGAACACCTTGGATGGTGGCTGTGGCTGCTGCTTTCCTGGGCTTGGGCCCTGCCTCCCAAGGGGCCCAGGCAACATTAGTTCAATGTACATCAAAAGGAGCTGAGTGCTGGACTCTGGCTCCTGAATTCAGCTCCCCCGGGGATGGGGAGGGATCTCCTTGTCATAGCACCTCTGTGGCCCTGGTGCCCCAAGAGAGCAACCTGGGTTCTGAGGAGGCCGAGGGGCATCCTGGAGCTTGGAGTTCTAACTCCGGGGGTTGGCCAGATGCTGCCCCAACCCACGTAGGCAGACCCTTGGGTTGGGGCAGACCCTTCCTGACCTGAGGTCTTGGGAGCTGGGAGGGGTGTGTTCCATGGGGGTGGAGGTCTCCTGTGAGCACAGAGACCAGGGCTCCCCTCCCTGCCCGTCATAGTGGGCATGGCTGCTGCACAGGCCCTTCATGTTCTCTGTATGTTTACAACCCTCAGGCAGTAAGTGACTGACTGGGGGACACCCAGCCAGCAGCACAGAGCCATCATTCCAGAACCCAAAGTTGGCCTGCTCTCAGGCACCCCCACCCATGCGCCTGTCACCAGGCTAATGCTGGTGAGAGTCCCCAGCTTTTCCTTCACAGATGCTCTCCTGCCTCATGAGGGGATGGTCCCTGGGGAGTGGCCCGGAAGGCTGAGGGGAGCCAGGGTCCCCTAGCTCTGCCGGTACCTTAAGCACACAGAGTGAGGGCTGGCTGAGGCAAGAACTTCCCCAGCTGTTCCCAGCTTGCAGGCCTGTCAGGCAACCCAACGCTGTCTTCCAGCCGCCTGCCCCTCCCAGGGCTGAGACTGTCCTCAGCCCCTTCTCTGGGGTGTGAGCTGTCCCTCTGTGCCAGCCCCTGCAATCTGACCCTTCCCCCTAGCTGTTCCTGAGGCCCCTTCCTTGCCCACTGCTCCCCTGTCTATATCTACGACGGCTCTTAGTAGGTCCTTGCAAAGAAAGGCTGTGAAACTGAGGCCTTGATGGCTGGACAGAGCCTCAAGCATCCATTTAGTCCAAAGGCTCATTTACTGATGAAAAAACCAAGAACCCAGAGAGGGCATGGGGCTTCCCTGAGGTCATACCACAAATCCTTGGCAGAGCTTGGACAGATCTAGTCTAGGCCTGTGACCCATGCACGGACATGGAGACTCCTCTACCCAGAGGTTTCAACCCCTTGGCCCAAGGCTTCCCTGACTCTGACTATGGGAAACTCTGAGGGAATCCTCATTTTTCCCAGCTTCCCCCTGGGAGAGCAGGAGGAGGTCTGCCTACTCTGAGCCTTCCCTCCCCTTCCCAGGGATGCTCCCTATAAGAAATGTAGTGGGCAGAGCTCCGAGAGAGACTGGCCCTTCACAGCGTGGGGTCCGTGGCTGGGCCCAGGGGCCTCCCCCAGGAAGGCAGGCTGGTTCCCTTGGGGAAACCAGAGGTCACAGGGAAGCAGCCCTTCCTGCCTCCTTCTCCCCTCCAGCTGCATCTTCCCTCCTTAGTGCCTGCCAGGGTGACCTTAACATCCATCGGGTGTTGGAAAGGCCAGTGCAGAGGCCAGGCCAGCGAAGCATGGTGTGGCTTCAAGGCCATCGGGTCCCAGGAGCTACAAGTGCTCTTGCCAGGGAATCCAAATGCTAAACTAACTCCGCGGCTGCTGGGACATGAACTCCCCGGGGCACTCAGTGCGCCTGCCGAATGCTGTCTCCTGGGGATTACCCGGGGACACCATGAGCAGCTGGGACAGTGCCTGGCCCTGCTATCCCAGAGCACTGCTGGCTGGGGAAGGGGCAGGGTGGGCAGAAGCTGGGCCTTGGCCCAGGGGCCACAAGTGCTGGGGGCTCAAGCCCCTCCAGCCGGCCTGGGGCAGGCGACCTGTGAGGGGCCCCACACCCAGCCTCTGGAGAGCCAGGTGAGAGGAACAGTGGTAGCCAGAAGTATGGAGGGCATGGGGGCTCGAGTCAGGGGCCCTGAGTGCCGGGCAGGCCCATCTCAAGGCTGCCTGAGTCCGCCTCAAGGGCAAAGGCCTGAGGCCTTCTGGGGAATGAGGCGTCAGGCCTGCCGAGTGGCTCGAACAGCCTGGGAGGGAATTCTAGATACACAGGGCATCTGATGCAAGCTGGGCGCACTCCATTCAACGTAAATCTTCTCAGTGGCTCTGCTTGTTTCCATGGCGACCTGACAAGTGAAATTTTCCATCTCAGATGCCAAATGCCTGTGGATGAGGCAAAGCCTCCAAGGGTTACCAAATATAGACACAGCCCAACAGGCGCTGGGGGCCGGGCCAGCAGTGGGTTCCGGGTGGGAGCCTGGACCACCCCCCTGAGGGGCTGCAGCCCTCCTGCCCACAGGCTGCCATGCTGGGCCTGGGACACGTTCTTCTGTGGGCAGACTCTTCCTGACTCTGCCTGGGACCTGTTCTTCTGTAGGCAGGACTCGAGCAGGATAGCCACAGGTGCACCCCTGCCACCCATCCCACCCAGGAGGGGCTTGGGAAGGTCCCAGCAACGCCAGGGTCTCGCAGTGGCCCACGTTTGACCCTCTGCCACACATGGGAGGGGAGGGCTGTCTGAGGCCCGGGACTAGGCCCTGTCTAGCTTTCTTGCCTGTCTGCCACCCGGGACAGTCTCTGAGCTGGGGCACGAACTCCTCCTCCTGGAGTTTCTCTCCAGGGGCCTCTGTTTGGGTGACTCCAGTATGCCCCTGGATCTTTTAGATTAACTCAACCTTGACTGCTGGGACAAGGTATTGCTACTACCTACCACCTCGTAAACACTCCCAGAATCCCCCAGCCTGGTGCTCTGAGGTGGAAACAAGAGGCCCAAGGACAAGTGAGGTGGGGTGGACAGTGTCTGCAGTGACAGAGGGGTGTGGTGCTGAGGCAAGGGAGACCCTTGGGAGCCCCCTTAAATACTCTCACTTGCCAGGCCCATCTGGCCCTGACCTTGTTTGGGAGCAGAAGCCCCAGCCCGGCACGGAGGCAGAGGGTACAGTCCCCAGCCCGCACTCACTCAGTCTGCAGCAGCTCGGGGTTGGGCACGCACTGGAGCCGGTGGGAGAGCAGCTGGAAGGCGCTGCTCTGGGGCAGCAGCATGAGCAGGCCGTAGAGGGCCTTGATCAAGTATGGGTTGTTCTTCACATCTAGCAGCTGCAGGCGCAGGTCTGTGAGAGGGCAGGGGTCAGGGGTTAGAGGTCAGGCACTGCCCGCGAAGATACCTCAACCTGGCCCGGAGAGGGCCAGCCAGGCGGCTGTGGCTTAGAGCGAGGTGAGGGCTCTTAACAGCCAGACACGCCGGCCCCTCCTCCAGTAGTCTTAGCTGTGCCGAGGAGCTTCTTCCCACCCACCCACCTGCCCATCTGTCTGATCTGTGCCTGGCGACCCCCAACCGGCTGCCAGGCCTAGTCCTCTCCCCGAAGACTTGCTGCCTCCCTAATAATGAGGGAGCTTGGGGCCCGTAGTGTAACAGACTCCCCGGTCTGCTCTGCACGTGCCAGCACAAGAGAGCTATAAATAGGGTGAGCTGGAGAGAAAGACTGGATTAGGAGCTGCAAGGGAGGGCAGGATGGAAAAATGCTTCTGTGTGTGGTTAAACACATGCCAAGCCCAGGAGTGTCTGGTGGGTGCTTTTGAAAATCCACCTCAGATACCAGCCCTGCCACCACCCACCGGACAGGAGGAGATGCACCCTTGGTCCTGCCCAGCCTGAGTCCCAACTAAACAGGGCCACACTTCTTCCTCTGAGCCCCTCCAGGAGAATCACTAGTGTCTCCTGGCCCAGTCTGGGGCATCCTTTGTGGAGGATGAGCCACAAACTTCTAGAGACACCATGTCACACAGCAGCAGCTGACACTAGAGTGGGAACAGCCAGGCCTTGGGGCCAGGGTGAGCCAGGAAGCAGGAGCCTTCCGCAGTGACCCCTCCACTTGCCCCAAGTGGCAGAAGCCACCAGTGGAGACCCAAACAGTTGTCCCTAGGCCTAGTGACTCCAGAAGAAGCATGGGCCTATTATGAGTCCAGTCCTGGCTCTGGGCCCTGGGGACGCTGGGGCTTTGGGGCCAAGCCAGCTACCAGGGGGGCGTCTAGGCAACCCAGAGTTGGAATGGGTGCTGGGCAGGACCAGGGTGTGTGCTGAGGTTGCCCCAACAAAGCCCTGAGCCTGGAGAGAAGGTGCTTGTGGCTCCTCTAGGGTCACGCTGGCCCTGACCTCAGGGGAGCACATGCCTGGCTGCTCTGAGGCCCTTGGGGAAGTGAGATGTCAGGCCAGGGGACCACCTGGAACAGGCTCTGATGCACTCTGCTAGGAACAGGGTCTCCTTCCTGCTCTTCTGTCTCCTGGGCATCTACCACTGTGGTACCTGGCTGTTTGAAGAAGCTGGCTTCTGTTTGGATGGGAGCGAGGGGAGGGGGGCCCCTCAGTCCCTGCTTCGGCCTCCAGGGTGAAGGTCAATGGGCTCAACACGGGCAGGTCAGAGGTATTGCCAGAGAGCAGGAGGCCTGGGTGGCCAGCTTGGCAGGAAGGCGGCCTCCTGCCTCCCAGCTTCCCTACCACACTGTAAACACGCATTTCATTCAGAGTCGCCTGCTTTGGGGAGCAGGCATCATATGTGTTGAGGCGCCAAGAGCTGAGCTCGCCCCAGCCAGCTGCCAGTTTTGCACATTCAGCCTGGGTGTTACGATCAGGCAGCTCCTGCCCATCAGCTCCCAGCAAATGCCAACTATGCTCTGTAGAGAGATGAGGGTGTGGCTCCTGGGCACTCAGGGGCACCTGCAGGTGGGCCCATGGTGCCCCACAGTGTTCGTGAGCCAGGACAGAGGACACCATGCTTGGAGGAATGGCTTGGAGGTTCAGCTCCGGGACAGTTGCCCTCCTGGCCCGACGGCACTGCCCCAGTTCTCCCCAGCAGGGATGACACTAGCCTTTGGGTGGGTTTTGCAGTTAGCACTGGCCTGTGTCCACAAGACCCACCTTGAGGCACACAGGCAGGACCCACCTTCTGGTGGCATGTGTCCCAGCCCTGCTCTAGCTGGTGTCCTCAGCCCTGTCATCCCCAGTCTTACATTCTTGACATTCCAGAAGCATCCCTGGGGTGACTGTCCTATTTCCCTCCTCAGCTGCAGCCACAGCTGCTCCCTGAGCTGGCTCCCACTCCTGCCCTACTCCAGGCTGGCCAAAGGCCAGAGGCAAGGCTCTCACATGTGAAGATGGGGCACTCGATCAGCTGCACCAGCTTGTCCACCTCAGTGAGGAAATCCACAGTGACCTCCAGGTCCCCGCTGGGTGGGCAGTCAAGGGAAGTCTGACCACTGGGCCAGGACAGCTTGTCTCAGTGAAGGACCTCGGCTGGGGGAGGGGACAACCGGAGAGCTGGGACCCAGGGGCTCGACCCGGCGGCTCAGAGCACACCCTCGTCCCTGTGGGCCTGGCTTCCTAGGGAGAGCCTACTACTGCCTGAGCAGGATTTGGCACATGAAGGGCACCAGTCTATTCTCCTCTTCGTCTTTCTGTCCCTCTAAATGAAAAGCAGCCCAGCTTTCCCCAAGCACGGGCGCTCCAGTTCGGCTCTGGCAGGTCTCCACTGTGCCTTCAGGGCTCTGGAAGGCACTTATCACAGCCCTGCAGCCTGTGGGGGAGGGCTGGGTAGGAAAGGCCCCTGCTCCTGCCTGAGTGGATGCCCGTCAGCAGGGCCAAGGCCAGGGCTGCGGCAAGCGTGCGGTTTGTGGTCTCTGGGTCACACTAGTGGCTGAGGAGCAAATCTAAGTTGTGGAAAGAGAGCAGGCACCCTGAGGGAGCCAGGAAAGGCTGCAACTGACCCTCAACAGAGGCACCTCGGGGCCCCTTCATTCCTCACCCCCAACTCCTGGCCCAGGGCACTCAGGGAAGGAGGCCAATTTTGCATCCTAAGTGGCTCTCCCATCCAGGGTCCCAGGCCGGGCATTCACAGAGGAGGCTGGGTGGCTTCAGTGCTTTAAACAAAATCTGACCGGGATGCCTACTGCTGAGCCTGGCTCTGAGGTCCCCATCCAGCCTGCACCTCCCCGTCATGTCAGCTGCCGAGCCTACCGGGCTCAGGCTCTGTGGCCCCCGAAGCTGCCTGAGCTCCTAACCAGCAACACTGCTGACGCTTGTGCTCAAGCCCGCAGGCCTCCCTGGTGCCCCCCTGCTGCCAAGCCTTCTCTCCTCACTCCACCCAGCGCTGGGCCCAGCACCATCTGCCGCGGGCAGAGCACCCCGCCTCTTCCCTGGGACACCTCACCTAGATGGCCCTATCAGCACCCCTGGCTGGGCCTGCTCTGCTCTGCTCCCTAACTCACGAGGACCAGCTCCCCTCCACGAGGCCCAGATGACCTTGTTTGCGGCCAAGAGCACTCTCCTAAATACATCTCTCACGGCACCCCCACAGGTCCTGCAGTCACGGGGCCTGGAGGCAGGGCATGGAAACGGGGCTGGGCAATGGCAGTTGGGCCCACTACTTGGGCGGGAAGGGCGCACGGGGCCCCTCCTGTCCCTCCACAGCTGCACTGGAAGAACAGTGAGACTGAAGGATACAACTTCTGGATGAGGTCGTAGGCATGCCGGTAGTTCTGGGTGAGGAAGCAGAGGGACACCGTGGTGACTGGGTTGTGGCACCAGGAGCGGTACAGACAGCAAAACAGGTTCTGGCTCTCCTGAGGGGGGAGAGGTGCGAGCAGTTAACAGAGTCCCCACGTCCCTCCCCAGGCACTCCTTCCCCAGCGCTCCTTCCCGACCTGGGACCTTCGAGGGAAGGGCCATGGGACTGAGACCCAGGGGCCCTTGTGGAGCATCAGAGCCAGCTCAGCACCCCAGGCTCTGTTTGGCAGCTCCACTGGGGACGAGCTGTCACAAAGGAAATGCTGACAGCTCCTCCTAGACCCTGTCATTACTCCCATCCCACAGAGCCATGTGGTGGTGGCTGCGAGGGCCTGGTCAGGAGTGAGCCTGGCCTTTGGGCTGGCATTTCTGCCTTCGACAAATAACAGTAATTGTCTTCTCCAGAACTCTGTGGTCCTGAGCCTGTGTGTGGGGGGGTGGTGACCAGAGGGTGAGGGGAGGGCCCTGGGGTGCGGGCTGGCCGGGCAGGAAGCTCCTTTGGGCCCAGGCTCTCCCTGGCAGCGCCCTCCTCTCATCCTCAGATGCCATCTCCTCCCTCTCCTGCAGCCCACCTTGCACTCGGGAACCAGCCCAGCAGCTGAGCCCACACTCGGGGGAGCCCCTGCCCTGAGGAAAATTCTTAAGGCCTCTGCGAATGTCTAGAAGGAACCACAGGAAGGCAGGGGTGTGGCCTGGATCATTCCGAGCGGCTCGGCCCCAGATGCCCTCAGACACAGGCCTGGATGTCCTTGAGAGGAAGGGGAGGAGTAGGATCTGAGCTAGGAAGGGGGGCATGGGGGTGGTCAATGAAACCCCCAGAGCCCCCAGCACGTCCAGCCAGGATGGTGGCCACCGCCAGAGGCCCTCGGCAGCTCAGCCCCCCCTCCCCAGGATGAGGCCTTGTGCCACATCCCCTAGAGCACGGGGGTAGGATGGTGAGCGCCTCCCTGCTCTCTCTGACCAGCCCTGGTGGGTCCCCACCCAAAGCCTGGGATAGGCAGTGCTATGACACCCCAGCTAACGACAGAGTGCCTTGTGAGACTGATGTGTCCAGCTGTGAGAGAGGGGCCAGGGCCAAGGAGGAGGGCGAGGAGAGCAATGACCCCTGATCTCTGGAAGAGTTATAACCCAGAGGCTTCACTTGGACAGAGTGGCATCGCCCAGTGGTCTTGATCCCACCAGGTCGCACTATGGGGCCCCAGAACTGAAACTACTCTGAGTCCGAGGGGGCAGTGCAGGCATTGGGGTGGGGTGTCAATGAGCAGAAAAAGCACAGCCTTTGATGGGTCAGGAAGGGCACGAGGACCCTGAAGTAGAGTCCAGAGCCTTCTGTGGGCAGAGACCTGTGCAGCAGGTGGCTCTAAGGAAACCAGCTGTGATCACTCCCACGGTAGGCCCTTACATGCAGCCAGCCCAGGGGGATCCGTACTCTACACTGGACCAGAGAGTTCCGATGTTATCCCCTGTCTCCTCCCTGCAAACCTCCTGGGGCTGAAGGGGTGGGCCGGCACAGTGGAGGGCCCGTGTGCACGCAGGACTAAACTCAGGGCCAGAGCTGGTGGCCGTGGAGTACCAGAGTCCTCAGGTCCTTGAGCTGGTTTCTCAGCTGGAAGAGCTCTGTGGAGGTGAGCAGGATGGTGTTGAGGGTATGAACCATGGTCGAGGCGAACTTGAGGTCCTCCTCCTGGAGCAGGATGTCTGCCATTGAGTGAAAGATGTTCTCTGCATTCAGCAAGAGGCAGAGCTGCCTGGAAAACAGGCACAGATGAGGTTACGGAAACCGCTGGGCCTCAGCTTAGGAACCCTCTCCCTCTTTCAGCGTCCTGAGGAAACTTGCTCTTTCCTGGGTCTGGTGTGGGATCCTGGCTGAGGCCTGTTGGGGGGATACCGGGACGTTGCTCACAGCAGGCATGGCTTCGTGCCTCCCAACACCGCTCACCCTGGCCCAGCAACTCATCCCAGGCAAAGAGGAATAGCCGGGCGAGAGGCTACCAGTGTCGTCGTAAGAGCCCTGAGTCACCTTCCTGATCTCCTACATATCACAGCAACGCCCCCCACATGCCAAGGCACTCCCTGCCCCTTTTGGGCTTTTCTTTTGCAGACAGAACTTATGTTCATGTGACAAATAGCACACATGCTGGTCACCTGTGTATTGTCCCTCCCTCCCCTAGGAGAACCCCCTGGGGTCAGGAACTTGTTTGTGCTGTACCTCCGCCTGGAGCAAGCCTGCAGGTAGCAGGCTCAGCAGGCCTTATGGGATGAGCAAACCCTATGACAACCCTCGAGTTTTATCTTCACTGCTCAGATAATGAAGTTTGGGCCGGGAGAAGAGACTTGACCAAAGTCGTGGGCTTGGTTAAAGGCCAATTCCCTTCCCGCCATCTCTCCTCTAATAAGAGTCTTGGGGGGCATAAGGCTTGGGCTTTGTGGAGGAGTCTCGATTTTAAAAAAGGAAACAGGGAACCCAGAGAATGAAGAAAACCAGTTTTTCCACGGTTCCTGGGCCAAGGTGACAGGTGGGTCTCAAGGACAGGCTTGGAGAAAGCCTGTTGACCTTCCGAGTTTGCCATTGGCCCTGCGTGGACGAGCAGGCCTTCTTGTTGGGAGTCAAGGATCCTGAGGCTCCTGCACACTGAAGAGGAGGCAGGGAGGGGCTGCCCAAGAGCGGCCAGGGAGCTGGTGAGGAGGCTGAGGTGTGGCCCTGAGCTCCTGACTGGTGGGGGCTGTGCGAGCGTGGCGCAGCATGCCCGTTTCCCGTCCAAGGCTGTTGTCTGTCTGCCTGACTTCTACTCTCTGCTCCAGGGAAGTGTCCCACAGACCAGGCCTCGGACTTCCGAGGACAGGGTCTGAGGCCTCGAGGTTCGTGTGCTAAATGATGAGCCACATTTAGAGCCAACATGCCTGGAACATCCATCCCAGGTCACTGAACTCACACTGCACTCAGCGTTATCAGGGACTGGTCTCCTGTTTCCCTCGGAATACCAGCCACACCTTGGGGCCAGGCTGGAGAAGATTCTTCCCCGCCTCCAGCCCCGGAAAAAATCCCAGAGCATTTAGTGACAGAGAAGCCAAACCATGAAGTGCAAACAGTGGGCAGGCTGCCTCCAGCCCAGTGGCCGGAGCCAGCAAATGGGCAAGAAATCACCCTAGAAATGGAAACGAGGCTGTTGGGGGCTGGGGCTGGAGGGTGGTGGTGGTGGCGCCCTGCCATTGCCCAGGTGGCTCCCCTACTCACCTGGTGCAGGTGGGGGGTGGGCAAAGGCCCCTGAATCTGGTGCTCCCGACCAGCTGTGTGCCCAATGTCTCTATGCAACAATTTCTTCACCTCCTAATCAGGGGTAATACCTATCTCTACAATAGGGGCTACTCAGAGGGCAGCCGCCAAGTCTAGTGACAACTCGTGTAGGGTGCACAGTATATGGAGAACGGGACCCCCGTTGGTACCACCAGTGAGGATGACAGCCATGCCCAGGAAGCCTGGCCCTTGTGCAGAGCACAGACAGCCCTTCCTGCCCCTCTCCATCCTCTCATCCCTGGACGAGCCCCGTCTCCAAGGCTGTGGGATAGAAATGTTCCAGAAGGGCAGGCCCAGGAGGAAGGGGAACATTCTGACAAATGGTCACAAATGCCCGTCGCCTGCAGCTGCTGCCGTCTCCATGACAGAGGCCAACAGCTGAGACTGCTGCCAGGCAGTGCTCTCCAGGGACCACAGGCCAAATGGATCTCCAGCAGCCGGAGCGCAGGGGGTGCTCTCACGTGAAGACGGCTGGGGAGGGTGCGAAGGAAAGGCAAAGGGGGTGGCAGCAAGGAGAGGCGGGAGCAAGGCCTCCTGGTGTCTCTAAACAGAGCTTCCAGAGCTTCGGAAGGCCAGGGATGGGAGCGTTCTGGAAACACTCTTCCCTGGCCACCAGTGACATTACCCTCTCCAGATATCCTCCTACCTCGCCACCAACTGCTCTGCCTCCTCTAGTGTTGACATAGCTCTTCCGCTTTCTCTAGTCTGCATCTCTTGGTAGGCCTGTCTGGTCCCAGGGATATTTTCAAAGCTACTTCTAGATCAGTGGCTCCCTCATGCACCTCCTGAACCCCATGAACTCCAGATGGCACCCCTACTTGCCGGGTGGACGGCACTGCTTGGCTGCCCAACAGACATTTCAAACTTGCCAGGGCCACCACACAACTCTTGGCTTACCCCCCAACTTGGGCCCCTCAGCCTTCCCCAGCTCAGAAAGTGGTCTCACTGTCCACCTGCCCACCTGGCTGCTCCAGCCCAAACCAAGACCAAGGAGTCATCCTTGATCCCCTGGGCTCCTGTGTGTGGTCCACTGCAAGTGGTGGGGTGGGGGGTGGGGGGGGGTGTTGCACGCAGCTCTGCTTTAGGGCACATCTTGCCTCCTTCTGGCCCTGTCTCAGCACCCCCCCCCCCCCAACCCCCGCTACCCTGGGGCAAGTGTTAGCGATTGCCTTCTAATGGTGTCCCTCCAAGCATCAAGCGGAGCAATCCTTAAAAGTGTTTTGAAAATGTTAATCAGAGCATGTCACTCCCCATCGGCTCCCTACTGGATCTAAATAAAATGCAGCTCCTCACCATGCCTCCCAGATTGCACACTTTCTCAATTCCCCTTCAACCTCAGCTCTTAGGATTCCTCCTTTACTTGTAACGTGCTGGCCTCTTGTGCTTTTCTTCTGTTCCTGAGCTCTGCCCTGGCCTGCCAGAATGTAAGCTGCAAAGGGCAGGGTCTTGTCTGTGAGCCTTGTGTCCCTCATACCAAGAAGAGGGCCCGGCACGTGGTAGCCACTCAAAGTCACTGTTGCGTGGAGGAGCCGTGCTTATCTCAATCAAGGTTTCACTGACCAGCCCAGAGACACTCCCGTGCCATGCTCCAGAACGTCCCCTTTGCTCACCCCAGGCAGGCCCTGCATGCTGTGCACACCCTGGTCTGCAGAGAGCAGTTGCCCTGATCTTACATTTTCACCCTTATCACCCAGGGTGACCCAGGAGGCCAGCTCAGCCCAGGAGACTCCTTGAGCAGTGCTGCCAGGACAGACTAAAGGATGGAAGGATCGGCAAAGACACATCGCACCAAAGAGGTCCCCCCGCACCCCCTTGAGCACTGCTCATTAAACCAAGACGAGAGGGGAGAGGAGAAGCCGGGGGCAGGGGGGCGGGGAGCAGGGAGGCACACGGGAACATGGCGCACCTGGCCTTCAGGCCCTCATGCTCTGGCTGTTTGCTGCCAGCCCTGCTGCAGCGTGTTTGCCTCCCCTGCCCTGGAGGCTGCTGGGCGGAACCTGGAGGGACGGTTCTGGGGCCCCCACCTGCGGGCCTAAGGCCGCAGTGCTCAGGGCTCCACTGCAGGGGCTCTGGCTCTGTGGCTGGGACAGGCAGGGAGGGAAGTCGAGGGAGGTTCCGCACCCTGCCTCATCGTATCCAGCCTTGCCTGTCCCATCCCAAGGTCACCCTAGGTTTGGGGAGAAGGAAAACACCTCCCAGAATGCTGGGTCAAAAAGCCTCCAAAAGGCAGCAATAATGAAGTATTAGCCAGCTGGCGGGAGTCCTTACCACACGCCGGGCACCATGCTGAGGGTGTTAGAGAGATCCATTTGGGATGGTGAGTGGTGATGGGAAAGAATAGCACCCACATCTGCAAGTGCTGATGCTCACCTGGGTCATGGCCCTGTCCTGGGCCTTTAAAGGGCAAGGGGAAGGCAAGCCTGGGTAGGTAGGCCAGGCCATAGTTTGGAGAGCTCTGAATACCTGAACAGGATGCCAGGTCCTCCTCTTTAGTCAAGAAGGCGGGGGTGGAAGGAAAGAAGGCCCACTCTTTACTTCAATCCTGAGTCCACGTCACGACCTGCACAGGTGGCTTCAGTGTCCCCAGGTTCCTCCTGCGGCATCTCGCCAAGTCTTCCCAACCCTGGGCAGAGGGTACACTATCACCCCCACATAGAGAGGACCCATACTGCCAGTCACACAGCTGACCAGGGGAGCAGGAAGGGAGGATCCACACCCAGAAGAGTCGACCTCTAGAACCTCTGTTGCTCCTTACCGCTCTGCCTCCTCGGTGCCCATCGTGAGCAGGCGCCGGGGGCGGTCCCCCCATGGGGGCCTGGCAGATGGCTGCCTCACAGGGCTGCTGCATCATCATTTCTCTGTTGAGCCCCAGCCCAGCGGGAGCTGCCTGCCTGGCTCTCAAGCATAGCATCGATAATGGAATACAGCTTGCAAGCATTAAACATTTGTCCGTATTTTTTAATACTCATATTAAGGTGCTATTCATCACGAGACAATGGCTTGGAAGATTCTTGGGGACAAGGCAAAGAAGTGGGGTGGGAGGGAACCCGGACAGGGTCTGGGAGGGCACATCCTGGAAGCCCACCTTAGGGCTGGAGGAGGACAGGGGTGCACCTGCATGTGCCTGGAGGTGGCCTGTAGTGTGTAACTGCGGGGCCTGTAGACTGCCTCCCCCTCCTCGAGCCTCCTGCTACGCGCATGGACGGCTGTTCCCCCTCCTCCAGGTCTGGGTTCACGCTGGGGAGGGGATGGTTCTTTCTGGTCCCTCTGTCTGATACTAGGAGCTCTTAGGAGAGCAACCTGCCTCTGGCCTGCTTTGAAGCCCCCGGGAGCCAAGAGAGGGACCGCACTTTCCCTAATGGACTGAGATGACACTGCCTTGTCTATAGGGATCCCTTCTTTGGGGCAGCCTCAAAAGGCCAAGGCCTACACTGGAACCAGGGGAAGGCACTC